TATTGGCACAGTTAAAAAATAGTGCTAGGAAGTGCTGAAAGTGCAGCGTTCTGATTCGAATGAAACTTGGCCCAAATTTGGGATAATTTTTTGTACTTTTTGCTAGAACATGTGCGAGACTCATAGCCTGCGCTTTTCAGAAACGACCGGTATTTTTAGGCCGGAAGTTGGCAAAAATGCAATTTTTTTGCGAACTTAGCAGGGGAAGTACTCCAAGTGCGACGCTCAGATTTTGTTTAAATTTTGCACACACGTCGGGTATGGACTAAATATCAATTCCTGAAAGTTTTAGCTCGCGCTTTGCGGGAGCCGCCGAGATATCGAACGATTTTTGCCGCCGAGAGAGCACGTTAAACGTGGAGAGCGGGTTGAGAGAAAAGCGCTTTTTGGCCATAGCTTTGGCAGTTTCGTGCGGAAACATTTGATTTTTTGTAGAAACATTATCCTTTACGGGTAAAATAAGCATGAAAATTTTCGTGCCGAAATTCGGCAAAAAGTCCTAAATTTTCGCCGACTTTCGATCTAAAAATCTCGGTTGTTTCTGCAAAGCGCAAGCTAGGATTCTCGCATATATCTTAGAAAAAATTATTCTAAATTTGTGCCAAGTTTCATCAAAATCTGAGCGTCGCACTTGGAGTACTTCCCCTGTTAAACACAATATCTATTTCAACCGTAGAGGGTAACGTTTCCACAAAAAATCAATTTTTTCCAAAAAAAATTGCTCAAGAACAAGCAAGGTTATAGCAAAAAAAATTTTTTTCAGGCCGCTCTCCGCATTTCGCGTAGTCTCGCAGCAGTAAAGAACACCCAAACGTTGAATAGTGCGGTACGCCAGCAAAGCGCGGGCTAAAAGTTTCATCAAGAATTGATGTGTGGCCTTCGATTTACCTGACAGACTGATCAGACTGAGAGTTGTTGGAGTAATTTTTGGCATTTTTGCGTGCTGAAAAAGGCAGGGTGCGAGCGACAGCCCAAAAAAAGCCTATTGCACGGTGCAAAAAAAAAGTTTTGTTTTCGCACAGTGCACGTCGCGGAAATGACTGCAGCGACTTTAAGGACAGACTGATATGACAATGTCCACCTGCAATGAACAGTTTTCGATAACAAAGTCTCAAACAAGAGCAAAAATATTTGGTTTGCATTTTGAAAATCCCAAATTTAGCCCAATCCTTCGGACAGGCCCCAAAAAATTGCTCAAGATCCCGTGCTCGCCCACTCGCGGAACTTACGACTCCCTCCACGAAAAAACTAAACATCCTCAAAACGAAAAAAAGGGGGGGGTGGAGGAAAAGAGAAAAGCACGAAATAGGGATTCAGTCCAGTCCATTCAGCCATAACAGCACTCATTCGAACCTTTTTCGGCACGGAAAAAACTCCTTTAAAAGGGGACGCTTAAGGGGCGGCGGGGAGGGCTGAACACTTCCCTTTTGTCTACAATTATTTCCCCCCAAAAAACAACAAATTGATGATAAAAATAGACGGGGATCTTGAGCTTTTTTCGAGAGCAAATAATGCTAGAAAATTGCGGGAGAATCGCGGCGGACGCAGCGCTGAAGTTTTGATGAAACATGGAAAAAACTTATTTACAAGGGAAGGCTTTTCAAGTGCGACGCACAGAAAAACTTTTTTTTTATTTTGCATACATGGCATAGGCCACATATCAATTCACAAAAGTTTTAGCTCGCCCTTTGCAGGCGTAGTCGAGATATTGAACGGCCTTTGCGGCCAAGCGAGTACGCGAAACGCGGAGAGCGGGCAGAGAGAAATGCAATTTTTGGCCATATCTTTGCCAGTTTCGCGAAAAAAATGATTTTTTGTAAATATGCACATTACTTCGTACGGTAGAAAAAACCATGTAACTTTGAATTTGAAGATTTACAAAAAAAAGATGTCGCATTTTTTTTGATAATGTCTCACATTTGTGAGACATTATCAATTAGTCAAAATGTGTGCCAAGTTTCATCAAAATTTTAGTGTCGCACTTGGTCTACTTCCCCTGTTAGGACAACCTTCAAAAAAAATATTTTCCATGATGACCATTGTCCATTTCTCTCAAAAAATTTGAATAAATAATAATAAAGGGATAAAAAATTCAGTCTTGTTTTCAAAAACATCTTCTTTGAAGGATAGAAAAGGAGCTGTTGGGCAGGAAAGTGGCCTGTAAATTAGCACAGTTTTTTAAACCAAAGTGTAGATGTGATTTGTGATGAAACATATACAGCGGGGGACTTGATCCAGTGGCAAGAAACGTACCATTTAGCATTCGGGAAGTATCAAAAATGTGGCAAAATGCATCCCTCTCCAAGCGAAAAAAAACTCAGATTTCAAAAGCGCGCCCGCTCTTTTTGTGAGGGAAACCCTTCAAAACGAAGGTTTTTCACTTGGATATGGAAGCATTTTGCCACATTTTTGATGCTTCCCGGATGCAAAATGGAATATTTTTTTGCACTGAAGCAGGTTCCTCACTGTAGTCTTATAACTTTATAAATTTGGCTAACTTCCTGCGGGCTACAAAAATTCAAAGAAAGAGAGTTCCATTGAAATGTTTCACCTCGTCAAAAAAAGGGTGCACTAGCGCACCAATTTTACAGCCGTCGCAACGCGGTAATGGGCGGTTCCAAGCCGCAATCCGGCCCTACTTTCCCGACAGACTGATAACACAACCCAGCTTTTTGCTGGGTTTAGCGACCTTTACGGCAGCAGATATCCAGACGTCCGACTAGACGGTTTAATTTTACACCTAGACAAAAGAAAAAAAAAGAAATCTGGAGGGCATAAAAGCTTTCAGAAAAGAGTGCAAAGACCTCTGACCTTTTGCATTAGCTGGCCAAAGAAGGCGCCGACTGAGGAAACTTAATAAAGCCAGGAGCCCCACACCTCTATAAATCTAAAAAAAAATAAATGAGCGCATCGTCGCTGCGCCAACATGGAAAGGTGTAAGCGCATGCATCTGACGAGATGTCTCGGGATGAAAATTCGAAGAGCGTACTGCACTTTGGTTGCACTTTTCAAGGCAATTTATTCTGCAGTACGACATGACTTTTGGCCCGCCTAGCACAGCCTAGTGTCCTAGAAATAATTGTTCTAAATCTTTGCCGAGTTTCATCAAAATCTGGCCGACGAACTTTGAGCACCTCCTCCGTGAATCGCTCTATTGTTTAGACGCCCTAAAGTCGGTAAGATTTATTCGGCGAGACGTCGCAGCGGCGCGAGCAAAAAAAGGCACAGTGAAAAACTCTACAGACTTTATGGCGCCACTAGTGCTACTCAAAATATCCTACAATTCCCGCACATTAAAAAAAAGTTCGTGTTTTCGCTGTCGCGCGCTAATGTGTACGTCGCTAGTGAAAAAAATGGGAAATTGCCAAAATAATTGCCCTATTGTTTAGACCAGAAATAAAGCAGTTCCGTGATCAGCGCTCTAACTGACTTTTTTGCTCTTCATTCTTCCCGCATCTCTTTACTAAAACAAAAATTCACTTTGCCCTGTGCGATTTGTTGTTTTTTGCACCGTGCAATAGGCTTTTTTGGGGCTCTCGCTTGCACCTTGACTTTCCCTGCACAGTGCAGACGCCAAAAATCCCTGTAGCGTCTTTGTGGACCGACCAGTAGAATACCGTCTCTAAAAATAGCCGCGAAGGAATTACGAACCGATTGGGCCGAAGGAGAAAACGTTTTTTCACGGACTTTCCGTTTGTTTTATGGGTCTCCCGAGGAAAGGCGGCGAAACGGCGGATATTCCGGTTTTATGAGCTCTTTAAGAACTCATTCCCCTCTCTCTCTCTCTCTTTCTGATCGTTGAAAAGTTTTTACAAATTAATTTCTTTTCGGAGGGATCGTAAACGAGCTCCGAGCCGGCGTCGTTTCACGTTTCGGCATGGTGCAAAGGAATGACAGAAGTGAGAGAGAAATGAGTTCTTGGAAGATTTCCAGGAGTTAAATGTCCAATTTGAAGTCATCATGATACTATTAGGATTTTCATAAAGTACGTGGACATTTGTCGCGGCCCGCATCGTGCACAAAAATCTACGACTTTTTGAACCGTGCATTCAATTCCTTCAAAGGAAAAATGCACTGTGCGTTGGCGACAAGCGTGGGAGAAATTTCAAGATGCACTGTGCGAAAGCGAAAAAATGTCTATGAACTTTATGAAAATGCTAGCCGCTGGACTGATGTCGGCAACGTGCACTGTGAGAAAGTAAAAGCTTTCTTTGCATTTTCTTGCTTTTTGCAAGGTGCAATAGGCTTTTTTTGGCTGTCGCTCGCACCCTGAGTTTTTTCTCACAGTGCATGTCGCTGATTTCAGTCCGGCGACTTTCCGGAAGGACTAGTATAAAAACAGAGAATACAAAAATTGGGAAAATGGGCGGTTATGGAGCTAAATGATGCAGAGAAAATGGTATTGAAACGACACAGCTCAAGATAAAATTTTTCAAAGACATTCTATCTCACGCTTCGCAGAAACAACCAAAATTTTTAGTTGACAAAAAAATGACAGTTCTTTCCAAAGTGTTTGTCCCAACGATCGTTCTTCGCGTTTCGCGCACTCTCTCAGCCGCAACGACTGTTCAATATCCCTGCTGCGCCTGCAAAGCGCGAGCTAAAATTTTCAGGAATTGATATGTGGCCTGTGCCCAGCGTATGCGCAAAATTTGAAGAGAATCTGAGCGTCGCCGTTGATGTATTTCCCTGACAATGAGAGTCAACTCTCCTTCAAAAAACAAAAAAACAAATTCCACAACAATATGGCCACAAACTCAAAGTCAATCCCCGTCACAGACTCCAACCACGTTTATTTTTCTTATTTGCTTTGCTCGCTTCTCTGCAGCTCAAGCGTGTTTATTGATTCTAGTTTCTGCCGCCAACAAAACGCTGACTCCCGTTGATTATAACCTAGACCGCTTCGTAGGTTGGTCCCGTCAAATCTATCTTGTTAAGCCGGGTTTATATAAATCGAGGATGTTGGGAATGAAGGATCATAAAACGTTCGACAGTGGAGAATGCAATTCTCCTTCATTTTTGCGATTTTTGCGCTGTTTGTAGCTACGGCGGTGCGCGCGGAGATTGAGTTGACTTACTTCGGGATCAAGGGCCGAGGAGAGGCGATCAGATTGATCCTTCATTATGCAAATGTTCCATTCAAGGATACCCGATTGAACAGTACGGAATGGCTGAAAGTCAAGGGTGATAAGAGTCGTAAGTTGAGTTTTTCTCTCTTCGCATGCGCTTGGTCGCATCGAAAATCATTTTTTGCAGCGACAAGCCAATTTGTCGATGTGCGACAGGCTTTTTAGGGTGTTGTGACGCCGGGGTAGCTATCAGAGGGTGCTGATTTCGGTAAGTTAGCAAAAATTTCACCATCAGTCTGTCAGGGAAATAATGAGCACTCCGCCGCAATGAAAATCGCGTCGCCGGCAGACATTCCCGGTTGTTTTTAACTTACTAAAACTTGTTCATGTCTAGTCGAAAATTTGGGAATTTCGGTAAAGGAATTCGGAAATTTTCGGAGCGACAAAGGGCTTATTATTTTCCCGACAGACTAAAATATACATCAAAATCTTCCTCAAAGCTTCATAAATTTAATAAATTCCCACCTTCGTTCTGCAAATCCTCTTTTTCAGGCTTCCCCTACGCCGTAATGCCCGTCCTCCGGGTGGGACAGCACTTGATTGCCGAGACTCCTGTGATTACTCGTTTCGTTGCGCGTATGACCCGGCTGGACTACGGTTACGACGTGTTCGAGCAAGCTCGGCTGGATGAGATTTACACGGTTGGCTACGAATTCTACGGCAAAATAATCATTTACCTCTCGATTTCCGCGGGGGCAATCCCCGGGGATAAGGTAATCGTTTTGAGGAAATTTGATTTTTAGCGTTTTAATATCAGTCTGTCGGGAAAATAGTGAGCGCTCTATCGCTGCGCCAATCACATCGCTGAGGTGAAAAGCAATTTGATTTCATCGCTACACAATTCATTTTCTCAGCGGCGTTGTGGTTTTCCATGCGATAGAGCGCTCATTATTTTCCCGACAAAAGAGTACTTGAAAGCGTGCAACGTATTTTACTCGACGTTTTACTACTTTTTGTGATCCACTTTCAGGACAACGAGTACAAAACGAATGTAGTGCCAGCAGTCCAAAAATACATGCCACTAATTGAGGAGCATTTGAAAAGCAGTCAAAACGGGTTTTTCAGCCCTAGAGGCCTCTCGTATGTCGACCTGTTTTGGGCCAGCGTCATTGATTGGATGAATGATATTATGCCCAATGATTTGAAGCCGTATCAAGCTTCAATCGAGTTGAAAAACAAAGTCCTTGCGTTGCCTCAGCTACAAGAATATTTGAGATCGAGGGACGAAAAGTAATCAGAATTTTGGCTTCGAAGTTGGCTATTTTTGTCTATTTTTTTGCTTTTTTGCTGACGATATTGATGAATAAACTTGCAAACTGAACTTTTTCTACACGATGCAAGGTAAAAACAGCTGGAATACCACAAAATTCAGTAAGGGAAGTGCTCACAGTATGACGAACAGACTTTTTGCACATCACTTTTTCCACCATAGGCAGCGTATCTATTCCTGAAAATTTTAGCTCACGCTGAGCAGGTGCAGCCGAGATATTCAACGACCTTTGGAGCCGAGAGAGTGCGCAAAACACCGAGAGCAGTAAGAGAAAAGAAATCTTAATGTTTCGTGCAGAAAAAATTGATCTTTTGTAGAAAAATTACCGTCTACGGTAGAAATAGATACGAAACTTTTCAGGCCCAAATCACCTATTAGCATTTTCACAAAGTCCCTGGGCATTCGTCGCGGTCCGCACCGTGCACTCATCTTTTTTTTTGGTTTTGCACTGTGCGTTTGAAATATCAGTCTGTCGGGAAAATAACGGCGGGTCGTCACAGCAAAATGTCTCGCCTCGCCTTTATCGCGCATCAAATCTCCAGCCGCGGCTTGCAGTCGCAAATCGATGAAGGACGATTCGGAGGCGCGACGATCCGCCGTTATTTTCCCGACAGACTGATATACAGGGTGGTTCAGCCGAAGCTTCCATCCTTATTTCAATTATTTCTCCGCCAATAATGCACCAATTTTTATAAAATTTATATCAAATTGAAGCTGAGGTTCCCCATTTTTCGTTCACGGAATATGACGGGCCTAAGTTCATCGAGGCTCCCGTACTGATCCTTAACATTTTCATTCCAAATTTTGGAGCCCGAAATCGGTGAAACTTGGAAAATTTTTGCAATCATTTTCAATTGAGTTTCTCGGACTTCGAAAATTTTTGGATTTCCGGGAAAAAACAAAGTAGCCAAATTTGATGAAATTTTTAAAAAAGGTAAGGTTCACAGAAGTATCAAGTGCCAAACAAGCATATTTCAATCCGGCTAGATACCAAGTCGAACGAATGAAAACGAAAGCTCTTTTCTCGGGCAATCCAGGCCTTAAAACTTGTTATTTATCTTCAGGGTGGATGTCGTGATCCCCGTAGACAGTTTCGCCCATTTGATCGTTTTTTTTAATTTCGATTAACGAAGCTTGTTAACCCAGAACACAAGAGCAATGCCTTGAAGATTGATTAGGAGTATTCCGTTGACTGCCGTCAATTTTTTCAGCTACTTCTAAACGTGTTATTTAGCCAAAGACTCGAATATTTTCCAAGCACGAGAACATAACTGAAAATCGTTGCAAAAATTTTCCAAGTTTCACCGATTTCGAACTCCAAAATTTGGAATGAAAATGTCAAGGATCAGTACGGGAGCCTCCATGAACTTAGGCCTGTCATATTTCGTGGACGAAAAATGGGGAACCTCAGCTTCAATTTGATATAAATTTTATAAAAATTGGTGCATCATTGGCGGAGAAATAATTGAAATAAGGATGGAAGCTTCGGCTGAACCACCCTGTAGTTGCGCCGATCGCATCGCTAAAATGAAAATCGATATAATTTTGCTGCGACAAGCTTTATTTTCTCGGCATGCGACAGAGTGCTCATTATTTTCCCGACAGACTGATAAAAACATAAAAAAAAAGACAAAAAATCTCAGAAGTCTCCCCAAAACCTCGAAGATCATCAAAAACATCAAAATTTCTGATTAATCTGTTCTTTCTTCCTTTTTTCTGCGGAAGTAATCCAAGAGAGCAAGCAGCTGTTTCTGGCGTCGAAGCGTCTTTCCGATTACTTTTGCGCTCCTCAAAAATTTTATCCGATTCGGACGAAATTGAGGCGATTAGGACATGTCACATTGTTTTAAACTAACAGGGGAAGTACTCCAAGTGCGACGCTCAGATTTTCTTAAAATTTTGCACACACGACGGGTATGGACAAGATATCAATTCCTGAAAGTTTTAGCTCGCGCTTTGCGGGCGCCGCCGAGAAAACGAACGATTTTTGCCGCCATGAGAGCACGCTAAACGTGGAGAGCGGTCAGAGAGAAAAACGCTTTTTGGCCATAACTTTGGCAGTTTCGTGCGGAAAAACTTGATTTTTTGTAAAAACATTATCCTTTACGGTAGAAATAGGCATGAAATCTTTCGTGCCGAAATTCCGCAAGAAGTCCTAAATTTTGGCCAACTTTCGACCTAAAAATCTCGGCTGTTTCTGCAAAACGCGAGCTGGGATTCTCGCATATATCTTAGAAAAAATTATTCTAAATTTGTGCCGAGTTTCATAAAAATCTGAGAGTCGCACTAAGAGAGTACTTCCCTTGTAAAAATGAAAAAAAATACTGCTTATAAAACAAAAAAAAAATATTTTTTTTTATTTTCAAAAAAACGAAATCTTCAAAAAAAATAATAATAAAATCAACAAGTATCGCATCCAGTTGATTTACAACCGCTAAACCAGTCCTTGGCCATATCCGATCTGTCTGCTCAGCCCTTGGCCATACGGATTTCCATAGGCGCCGTAGCCGCCGAGGCCGGCGTTGTAGCCGTTCAATGTGCCGTATCCTCCAAGTCCACCGCCATAGCCATTGTTGAGGCCGGTTCCAAACCTTCCATTGGTGATGGGGACAATGGGCGCGGAGAGTTCGTCGACGGCCAACGGGTCAACTTGGTCTGAAATGAACAATTTTTTATAAGGTATATAAGCTATGATTTCTATATTTTTGAACGCCGCTGAACCTTGCGGTAAAGGTATTCTAAATGCGGCCTTTGGATTCTGCAGAAACAACTGAGGTTTTCAGGTCCCAAGCTCGCAAAAAAGGTGACATTTTTTATAGAATCTTGGTGGCTTTTCCTATTGTATTTTTAATTTTGTCATGCGTTTCCCAGATATACAAAAAAATTTGGCTTGAATTATTCAGAAACTTCTGAGGTTTCCAAGCCACAAACAAAGAACTCGGAAACTCAAAAACCTTGCGATTACGTACAGAAATAATTGTTGAAGATGTATGTGATCTTACCGACGGGTCTCAGTCCTCCGAACGGCTGTTGCGGGTAGCCTAGGCCTCCACCAATTTGTCCTTGCCCACCGATTCCTCCATTCTGCCCTCCAATTTGTCCATTCTGACCGAATTGACCATTGGGTCCCCCAAATCCGCCAATTGGCCTTTCATTCCTCGGCGACACTCTCTCCAATCGTTCCTGGCCATTCGGGAGACCTCCCAGACTAGCTTGGCCCGAATTCAGCCCATCAACATCGCCGCTGCCCAGAGCCGAGCCGAAAATCGAGTCCACGTTCGACTGTCCGATCTGTCGGTCCACATTCTCCTGCCCAATGGCGCCGCCAAACCCTTGTCCGTAGGGAGTGGCCACATCCCCAGGCAATGAGAATTGGCCACCCAACGGCTCGTACGGTGGAGGGGGATAGGCGAAGATGGCGAGGAATAAAAGGTTGAGAAGAAATAACGACTTGATCATGATGAAGAGCGAAGGTGATATGAATGGACTTGGGTTTATTATGATTGGAGTGCCATTATTTCTGCGCAGAGCGTGGGAACGCAGAGATCTTGAAGGTCAAGTGACCCACGGGAAAATTATCTCAGCGCAGAAAATTATTATGAGCGATCTCAAGAGACAAGCTGATATGGGAAGTACCTTAAGTATGACGCTCAGAGTTTGATGAAATTTGACTCAAATTTAGAACATTTTTTTTAATTATTCAAAATTTTTCTAATACTAGTCCGTTCGCAAAGTCGCTGGAGTGATTTTTGGCTTCTGCACTGTGCAGTAAAAGTCAGGGTGTCAGCCCGAAAAAGCCTATTGCACGGTGCAAAAAGTAAGAAATTGAAAAAGTAAGCTTTTGTTTTGGCACAGTGCATGCCGCAGAAATCACTACTGCGACCTTGCGAATGGACTAGCACATATGCAAGACTCCTAGCTCGCGTTTTGAACCGGCCGAGATTTTTGGAAAAAAAATGTTAGTCTTCTTTGCGAAGTTTGACATGAAAAATATCATGTCTATTCCTACCATAAAGTGCAAAGTTTAAAAAAAAAATAATATTTTTTCCGCGCAAAACTAGCAAAGTTATAGCCTGGTTTTTTCTCTAACTTCTCTACGGGTTTTGCGTACTCTGTCGCCAGCAAAGAATATCTCGGCTGCGCCTGCGAAGCGCGAGCTAAAATTTTGAGGAATTTGTATGTAGCGTATGCAAAAATTAAACTTTAAAGAAAATCTGAGCGTCGCAGTTGTAGTGATTCCCTTGCCAGAATAAAAAATTATGATATTTTTTTCAGTTCAAACATAGTAGGGATGAAATAAAACTCTAAAATAGCATACGTTATGGGGCAAAATGAATAAAATTTTTATGGAATCCCCGTTCGAACGGGTTTTCTAACCTTAGCTGGAAAAACGAGGATAAAAACAATATGCAAAAGTTGATGTACACATTACACTTTTTACATTAAAAACGATGCTAGCTTTGGTTTGTTTATTTACAATTTTGATGATATTTTGGCATAAATGGTGCTTGGATAGATCCGAGGAGACGGTTGAGGAAGGGCATCACCGTCTTTGAAGATTCCTCTTGACCTTTGAAGGCTGTTGTTTTGGACTTCATCGATGTCGAGTACCGGCGTCACACAGGCGTCAATATCTAAAGAATTGATTGTTAAGACCAGACATGGCAAATGGACTGGGCTTTTTGCGGCCCTGGGCTTGAGCGTCAGCCAAGGTCGGCCCGCCTCTCCAAGCGTGCTAAAGTCCCAGGTAAAACCACTTACTGTTAAAAATTTGTGTCCACTCCTCTCTCGTCTTCTTCTTGAACTTCTCCTCCATGATTGCAGTAAGCTTTTTGAACTTTGTAATTAGCGAAACGTCAATGCCCAAGGTTTTCATGACCATGATCTGATACTTTGGCTCCAATGCCCCAACTGCGATGAACTTGTTGTCTTTTGTAGAGTAGATCCTGTAAATTATGTTACTGTAATCAGTGTTGAAAACTCCTGGGCGAAAGCCACATATATTCGTAGAAGTCCAAGCTCGCGCTTTACAGGAGCAGCCGGAATATTGAACATTCTTGGCCGCCGGCAGAGCACGCGAAGGCGGTGAGCGGCCTGCGAGAAAACACTTTTCGGCCATACCTTTGTCAGTTTCGCATGGAAAAATTGCTTTATTGAGAAAGGAAAGAAATAGGGAGAAGTAGGCACGAAAAATTTTATGGCAAATTTCGCAAAAAGGTGCAATATTTTCGCCAAACTGCGGCTAAAAATCTCGGCGTCTCTATGCCCTAAAGGAATATATGTAGACAGCATTGGCCATAGAAAAACTTATTGAGAAATTTGCACTAGGTTACATAAAAATTTGAGCGTCGCACGTCCACCTCCCCTGTTTAACAGTCTGTCAGGGAAATAATGAGCTTTCTGTCGCGCCAAAAATCGCATCGCCGCTGAGAAAATGAATCGTGTCGCGGCAAAAACAAATTGCTTTTCACTTCAGCAAGCGATCGGCGCAGCGACATTGTGTTTATTATTTTCCCGACCGTCTGATAAACCCCTGAACGTGAACAGACTCCTTTTCTCACCTGTAATGCGGATTGTTCCCCTTAAAGCATCCAATCTGCTCGTCCCATATCAACTTGTTCTCCTTGTGTGCGAACAAGAAGGAGCTCAAATACGTGACCGCGTCCGTGATGCTGGCATCCACCACTCCGCCTCTGCCCGTCCTCTCACGCTCCGCCAACGCCGCCAAAATGCCGAACGCTCCGCTCAGACTGCCGGCCGCAAAATCGGAGAGAATGTTGGCCGGCGGCCAGGGTCGGTTGTTGGCGTTCGTAATTAGCGGTAAGATACCGGACAAGGCGAGGAAATTGAGGTCATGTCCGGCCTTCATTCTCATCTCTCCGGTCTGCCCGTAGCCGCTGATCCGGCACACGATTAGGCGGGGGTTGGAGTCGAACAAAATTGAGGGATCCAGCCCCATGGCTTCGAGGATCCCGGGCCGATACGGATCCAGCAGGACGTCGGCTTCATTTATTAGGTCGCGGATTTTCGCAATATCGGATTCGTAATCCAATTGGATGATCTTCTTGTTCCGAGTGAAGCCGGCCGAAAAGGATGACGTCACCTTCTGAAAACGGAATTTTATGGTATTTTCAGCGGCGAAAAGACTTTTTTGTTGTTGGTTTCATGTTAGTTTCGCTGTGGAATTTTGGTTATCATCAAATGATGATAAAAAATGAATGCGTTCACGTTTTTTTCCCGTTTTCCGAAACAAACAAGCAATTGACCAGATTTTTTATCAATTTGAGAAGAGAAGAGAGGGAAGATTATGTGATCATAATGCAAAAAATAATGTTCTCTGCGATAAAAAGTTGGTATGACATTTTTCATACTAAAATTTTCAAAAACGAGCCGCATATTATTCTGTCGGGAAAATAATGTGGATTTGTCGCAGTGAAAAATTTCACCCTGTTATAGTCGCGAACCAAATATCCAGCCGCGGGATATGGAAAAAATTATCAAAAATTGGTGCCAATTCTGAGTAAATTAACTACGGGTACCCTAAGAGCGACGCTCAGATTTTCTTTAAATTTTGGACACCATTCGGGGAAGGGCCACATTTCAAATCCTGAAAAACTTAGCTCTTGCTTTTCAGGGACCGCCGAGATATTTCAACGATCCCTACAGCCGAGAGAATACGCAAAACGCGGAGAGAAGTTACAGAAAAACCACATTTTGGCCATACTTTTGCCATTTTCAAACGAAAAAAGTTATTTTTTTGTGAAGGCATTACCATCGGCGCTAGAAATATAATAGGTGTGATACTGTTTCATGCTAAAATTCACAAAAAAAGTGTCACATTTATACCAACTTTCGACTTAAAAATCTCGGTCGTTCCTGCAAATCACGAGCTAGAAGTCTCGGATATGCCCAAAAAATTGATTCTAAATTTGTGCCAAGTTTCATCAAAATCTGGGTAAATTTGTGCCAAGTTTTATCAAATCTATGGTATTTTAGCTGTATCAGTCTGTCGGGGAAATAACGAGCGCAGAGTCGCTCCGCCGATCGCGTCGCTGATGTGAAAAGCAATTTGATTTTGCCGCGATGCAATTCATTCTCTCTGCGGCGATGCGATTTTCGATGCGGCAGAGCGGTCACTATTTTCCCGACAGACTCATATTAGTGTCTCGGGGAAATAATGTGGATTTGTCGTGGCAGAATGCCTCGCAGTCGGGCAGCAACTCTCCGTCAAGCCGTCGCCAAGCGATGATGTGACATTTCGGAGTGCAACAAATCCACATTATTTTCCCGACAGACTGGTATCTGTGAAATGGCAGTGCTGAAAATCTGAGCGTCGCACTTTGAGCACCTCTTCAGCCCTTCAATGACTAAAAATTCGAAAAATCGACCCAAAATTTCCAGCCAACTTCTTTCTTTATCCGTCGCCGCGGCTACCGTAACCCCTAGTGCCTATAGACAAACAAAAATAGCGCAAAGCTCACATTGATCAGTGTCACATCGGCGCCAAAGTCGGCCAGGATTTGTCCACAGAACGGGACCGGTGCCACACCGCACAGTTCGACGACCTTTACTCCCCGCAGAGCGTTCATCGTCCCGCCGTCAGACAGTTTTGTAGCCTTCTGAGTGGACCGAAATTTTTCTTTCTTGTTTTCCTTCTTCTTTGGTGGAGGGTTTGTGATAGTCGTTATCGGCTTGCGACTTCCTCCTCCGGCTCCGAAACGAGAGAACGGGCGAAAACGGTGTGAAAAAAAACCGAAATGCACTTTTATGTAATGCACTCTTCTGGGACTGTACTTGTTTAAAAGGGCATTCTTTATTGGTCGTTGAAAAGCGTCTGGCTGATTGCAATTCAGCTTGTGATTTTCTGTCTTTGAACAAACAACAATTGTAGGGGCTAGGGGATTGAAGGTGAAGGGAGAAGTGGGTCAAGTGCGACGCTCAGATTTTCTTCAAATTTTGCACACAATTCGAGCATAGGCCGCAATTTCTGAAAATTTTAGCCTCTGCATTGCAGGGACTGTCGAAATATTCGGCGTCCTGACTTTTGGGAGCGACGGAACTTCGGGTCAACGCAAAATCAAACAAAACTAGAGGTAGGGAAGGTGAAGACCAGAAGAAAGGAAATGCAGTGACAAACACGATTCATTGGCAAAAAGCGTATCGTTTTGCATCCAGGAATTATCAAAAATGTGGCAAAGTGCTTCATTCTCCAAGTGAAAAAACGTCGTCTTATTATAAGCGCCTAATACAAGTACAGTGACGTACCTGATCCAATGGCAAAAAACGTACCGTCTTGCATCCAAAAAGTATCAAAAAATGAGGCAAAATGCTTCATTCTCCAAGTGAAAATACTTCGTTGTGAAGGTCGCGCTCGTTCCCTCAGTTCCCTCACAAAAACTGTGCTTTTGAAATCGGAGTTTTCTTTACTTGGAGAGAGAAGCATTTTGCCACATTTTTGATTCTCCCGGGATGCAGAATGGTACGTTTTTTGCCACTGGATCAGGTACCCCACCACTGGACCCTTTTTTTGACTTGACCAAAGATGCTGGCTGCAACGACCCGCCGTTATTTTCCCGACAGGCTGATAATATAAGGTGCCTAAGAGGGCCGGCAAGGCCGCTGGATACTTGGTAGCCAGCTGGCGAAGGTTTGGCAGAGGCTTCGGAGACTTACAATAGACGATTTCTTCGGATTTTAGCCATTGCTAACCTCAGTCTTCTGCCTCCAAGCAATTGCAACAGCAATACGCACTTTCTGGACGTGCGTAGAATTTTTGTCGTGGACCGCATTGTGTGCAAAACCCCTTTTTGCGGCGTGCATTTGTCCGTTTGCCTTGTCCAATATCGCATCGGTACAAGCTTTTCTCAACGGAGTCGGTTTAGGCGCTATTTACCTAAACATGACCGTAGCGATGTTATTCGTATTTTGCTGCTTTATCAAGCAGGAAGCTTTTGAGGCATTATGCAAATAAACACTATCATTTCGGTACAAAAGTGGGACATTTTGGAGGCATGTGAATTTTTAGTGGGCGACCGCTCCCCATTCTAGTCACAGAAATTGTATTTTTGTCTCAATTTTTTGGTTCGTATGCCCTTTAAAACTCTTATTTTTTATCTTTTATGATAAACAAATATAGTGATTACAACAACATCAAAGTTTTTCATGCTAAAAAACTCAATTAAAAAAATTTTTTGGTATCGACACGAAACTTTCAAGTTTTGGCATTCTGCAACAAGCCTTGAAAATCAATATTTATCATCCAGAAGTCATAAAAAGCCAATTTTCATGTATTTTTCAAACTTTATTTGACATGACTGTACTAATAACAACTCATTTTCAACACAATACATATGTTTGAGGCACCTTCTGGAGCCGTCTTCAGACCCGAGCGGAACAACCATTGATTACTGATAAAGCAGTTAAAATACAAATTTACAATATTATTAATGGCATTATGCAAATCGGTTATTAAAAAGATTTTTGTGAGGAGAAGGATGTGTGTAACGAAAATTTTATGATCAAATTCCCCAGTGGAGGGCTCAGATTTCTTCAAAATTTCGGGAGCACATCGCGTATAGGTCATAGTTTAATGCCTGAAAATTTTAGCTCGCATCTCGCACGCGTAGCCGAGAAATTCAAAATACAGTGGGGGGACCTTATCCAGTATCAAAAAAGGGGCCATTTTGCATCCAGGAAGTATCAAAAAATTTGACAAAATACCTCCCTTTTTTCTCCAAGCAAATAAAAAACTCGGATTTAAAAAGCGCGCCTGCTTTTTATAGACGGACCATGACCAGAGATTGTCACGGCTCTTGGCTCCGGCTTTGAGCGGCTCCGGCTCCGAGCCTGGAGCCAGAGTCGGAAATTTTGAATGCGGCTCCGGCTCCCGAGCCCAAAGTCGGAGCCAGGCATTTTTAGCGTTCAGAAAAGTAAAAATTTCATGATCTCGTTAAACCAAATTGCTTGAAAAATACTGGGGAGGATGTATTGCGTACGACGTGGCTGCAAAAACGTTGGATGTACGATCTCTGACACTAATAACTTTTAGTTTTGGAAAAATATTAAAAAAAATTTTTTTTTGCATAGGAACCGGGATTCGGAGCAGGAGACCTCTTTAAATTTTGCACGGAGCCGGGAGCCGGAGCTGCAAATTTGGCCTCGGCACCGGCTTTGGAGGCTAAGAACAGGAGCCGAAATTTTGACCGCGGCAACCTCTGACCATGACCCTTTGAGAATCTCCTCTTGGAACATGATGACCATAAATCAGCAAAGAAAATTTCGAAAAACCTTTTTGTAGGCCAAAGATCGAAAATTTCGTTACACACACACTCCCCGATAAATTACAATACCATAACAATACTTTACAAGGGCGCTAAAACTCGAACGTTTTATACCACGCATTCTTCTCGGCGTGCCTTATCAGATACTTCCGGATCTCCGTAAACACCAACAACACAACACCAACCGCCGGCCCGAACGCCCACACAAAGCGGGGCGGGACCGAAATCCCCAGCAGATGCCGCAACGCCGGCGTGTAGATCAGCAAACACAGGATGCTGACCTCGATGAAGACCGCCAAAAACACGGCATAACTGGTGAGGCCGTGCCGGAACAGCGACACACGACGCGTTGTGCACATGAAAATGTGGAACACTTGCGCCATGACTAGGGTGATTTGGTAGGCCGCCGCCGCTTGTCCCCGTACCTCCATTTGATGGTCGGCGGTCATGACAACGTCTGATAGTGGAGTGGTCAAGTTTTCGGCTTCACCGTGCCAAAAATCGGTGTGCGAGAAGAGCAGAGACGTGGGAGGGAGGCCGTGGGAGCTGAAAAAAAAAGATGAGTTGGAGAATCGTTGTGAAAAACTGACTTGGTTGTCTAAGCGAGCACAAGGACGCATCTTTAGGAGGGGAGGATAAAAATGAAGGTAAGCGGGGACCAAGGTTATTCTTGCGGCGCGCCAACTCCTTACAGCTTGCAGATACCTACGGCCAAAAGATAGATGCCCTCATTCATGGCCAGATACGCCATAATACTTCCGATGGTGCTTGAATGGAACTTAGGGCAGAAAGCAAGTTTGCAAAATGGGGACTCAGCGTAGCCGAAGATTTTGTGACCGACATTTAATTAATGTGGCGTTTTGTTGCAAATAGAATATTTGGAGAAAATCTTTGGCTGACTTTTCTTGGCTAGCCGAGAAAAGTAAAACCTTGCTTCATAGTCCGGAAAAACTTTTCTTGAGTTTTGAGACCAAGTTTGTCCTCCAAAAATTCGTCCGAAAGAATTTTGATATCTAAAATCGTTTTTTCAATCAGTAGTGTGTCGACGAAGCATCTCAAAAACGTTTCAACTTTAAAACTAAACTTACTAATAAACACTAAAATACGCCGCAAAGCTGCCAATTGTAATCAACGTCCCGATGCAGACATAACTGTAGATCATTAATGCGGCACTAACCAAAGTCTCCTTTTTCGATCTTGGCGGACATTTCATGATGTCCCGTTCGGGCTTCTCGTAGGCTAGAGAAATGGCCGGAGGCAATTCACAGGCCAGATCAATGCTTAGGATCTGAAGTGCGGCAAAATTAGAGAAATGGAGAAAATCGGAAATAGCAAATTTTGAAAAAATGGCGCTACGACTTTTCGGGTCAACGGCAGTTTGTGCCGACGATACCATGGGGTGCGTAAATTTGTCATTGTATGGGGAAAGCTTGGAGAAGGCATAGTTAGTAGAAATAATTAAATTGATCGGGCCCTAGGAAAGCTTTTAGACCTCAGCGGAGACTTGGCGGAGGCCAGGTCTCCGCTGAGCCTTCGCCGAACGTCCGCCGGTCATTCAACGGCCTTCACAGGCCTCGTAGACACCTCATATACCTTTCTTTTCTCTCCGCCTCCTAACTTTTTTTAGTATTCGAGGCTTGTATCGATCGGCTTTGTATTGACCCGAAAAGTCACGACGTGAAAAAAAAAAAATAATTAAAAATTCATATCTTTGCTTCATATTTTTTGCACCAAAAAAAATTAAATTTCAGAAAAAAAAACGCTTTGCGATTCAATGAATCGAAAAAAATGAGAATTCAAAATTTTGAAGAAGAATCCGTATTTTACCTGAAGCGGCGAAAGGCCAAGTGGAAGTCCTAGCGTAAAATTCAGAATAATCGGACAAACTTCTGGCCACAAATGGGCCAGCGTATACGCAATCGACAATTGCATATTTTCGAACAGAATCCGCCCCTCGGCCACGCCGTGCGTTATGGCGCCAAAGCTGTTGTTGTCCAGCATGATGTCCGCCGCTCTTCGCGCAATGTCCGTACCTGAAAGCGGAGTTGGAACCCCGGCAATTGGCGTACTTACTAAACGACTTCGTGGAGATCCCAATATTGGCTTGAGAAATGGCTGGAGCGTCGTTGACGCAACCGCCGGTCAGCGCGACAATCTCGTCGCGGCGTTGGCAAGCTTCGACGATCAGCATTGACTGCTCCGATGTGGTTCTGAAAAAGATGGTTTAGAGTGGCTTCTTTATCGCAGACATTGAAAAGATGTTTACTATCAGTCTGTCGGGAAAATAATGAGCACTCTGTCGCAACAAAAATCGTATCGCCGCTGAGAAAATAAATCGTGTCGCGGCAAAATCAAATTGCTTTTCATTTCAGCGGTGCGATTTTCGATGCGACACAGTGTTCATTATTTTCCCGACAGACTGATATTCGCGGCAAAAATTGAATTTATCGCGGCCCCAAGTTCCTTCGCACTCCGAAAAACGATCAATTTGTCGCTGCGAAAAATGCGAAAAATGGGCATCGCATGCGACGTATCAATCTGTCGGGAAAATAACGGCGGATCGTCGCATCAAAGTGTCTCGCCTCGCCGCTATCGCGCACCAAATCCCCAGCCGCGGCTTGAAGTCGCAAAGCGATGATGGGCGATTCCGAGGCGCGATGATCCGCCGTTATTTTTCCGACAGACTGATAAAAAAAACCCAACTACGCACTGTGCAAAATGGTTGTTTTAGATAAAGATTCACTGTGCAGAGCACTTTCCTCTGCTATTTTAGCAGCGACGCGCAAAAACCGCTTCTCACGACTTTTTGAAACGAATGCCTAGTATTACAACCTGTTCATTAATATCAATCTTTCTGCCCACAATTTTCAGCTTGTCGGGAAAACAATGAGCACTTTGCCGCATCGAAAATCGCATCGCCGCCGAGAAAATGAATTGCATCGCGAAAAAGTCAAATTGCTTTTCACTTAAGCGACGCGGTAGGCGCAACAACATTGCGCTCATTATTTTCCAGACAAACTGATCTTCACAAACACTTCGATTTTCTCACCTCGCAAACACAATATACGGTTTGGCCAGCAGCATGTCCCAATTGGCCTCTGTCATTTCATCAATGGTCCTGCCATGCACCACCGCCCAGTCATTCCCGTATTTCGAGTCGAAGTCCCGTTCGCATTGCATTTTAATGTTCTCGATTTTCTGGTCGATCAGCCCGATGCGGCACGCCAACGCCATCGCCGAAATGGGGTGGTCGCCGGTGATGATGTGGATTTTGAGGCCCGCCTCCTTGCACATCTTGATGGCGGCGTGGCTGTCGACGCGGGGCGGATCAATCAGCGAGGCCATGCCCAGGAAAACGAGGTTATGTTGGGGAAACGTGTCTTGGGCGGCGCTGATTTTCCCGTCCTTGTCCGTGACGAAGAATTTCAGCGCGAACGCCACAACTCGGCCGCCGTGCTTGCTGAAGGCCTCCAGAGTGAGCTGGAAAATAAAATTGGATCATAAAAGGTGTCATGTTAATAGCGGAAGTTTCCACAAACATTTTTGTTTTCAAAAACCCACATGAAAGTCCTTTTCGAAGACCGGCCCGATGTCGAAGATCCCATCATCTCGCATGTACTGATTACACCTCTCCAAGACCGCCTCCGGCGCTCCTTTTAGCATCACCACATGAACTCGCTGATCTGGCATCAGACCCTCTCCCGGATACAGATCACAATCAATCGGCTCTTCGCATCTGGCCACCAACAGTTGCCAACGTCGAATGGAGTTGTAGGGGATCTCGTAGATTGGCTGGAAAAACTCTTTGTACTATCAGTAGGAGAATTAATGAGCGCTCTGCCGCATCGATAATCGCATCGCCACCGAAAAAATGAATTGCGTCGCGGCAAAATGAAGTTGTTTTTGACTTCAGCGACGCGATCGGCGCAGCGACATTGTCCTCATTACTTTCCCGACAGATTGACAGCGCAAAATACTCATTTTTCGAAGCGACAAATCATTTTTTTAGAGTCCGACAGAATTTGGGGCCGCGGTAAATAAGCAGAACTTTTTGGGTACATATCAGTCTGTCAGGAAAATAATGGCGGGTCGTCGTGCTTTGGAAGCGCCCGTCATCGCTTTGCGACGGCTAGTCACACTATAAATTTGGTGCGCGCACGCGTCAAACTGAGGAGTCCGGTGACCGGAATAGACCCTTTGCTATTGGCTTTTTACACGTCGTCTTGATTTCCCAGAGAAAGAGAGAAAAAGACACGCAAAAGCGTACTCTCTCGCCCCAAAATTTCTCCATTTCTTCCCCGACAAAACGTTTTTTCGCGTCTTTTTTGGCAAATTACCAATCCATTCATCGGACTGTTTTAGCTTGTCTCGGTTTGACGTGCGTCACCCTTCCTTCGACGAGGCGAAACATTTGAAACATTTTGCTGCGGCGATCCGCCACTATTTCCCCGACAGGCCGATAGTACTCAAGTTTTGTCATCAAATTTACCTTGAACTTCTGACCCAAACTCGTTATGGAGAAGTTGACCTTCTTCAGGTAGCTGTAAATCGCCGCGTCCGCCGTGTCCGTCGGAGCGATCTGTTTCATCTCAATACTATTGTCTTCGTAGTAATGCGACTTCTCCAGGTCTTCAAAGTCGAGCTCGCGCACATTCACAACATCGTCCTGGAAGCGGACGGCGCGGGCGAACTCCGGCTTCGGCTCTTTGACCACTTCTTTGCCGGTCTTGGGATGACTGAAAATTAAGGGGTTGGGGGCTGAGAAAAATGGTCGTCTAAAATGAAATTTGCAAGTCATCGTATGTCGTATGAATACTAATTGCGCCATAAAGAAAGTCGCAGCGGCGTGGACAAAAAAACGCAAAATTCTGAAGGCTCTATGACGCTACCAGTACAAGTACAGTGACTGACCTGATCCAGCGGCAAAAAACGTACCATTTTGTATGAGGAAAGTATCAAAAAATGTGGCAAAATGCCTCCCTCTCCAACTAAAGAAACTCCATTTTGAAGGACGCGCGCCTCTCCCGCACAAAAAGAGCGAGCGCTTTGAAATCGGAGTTTTTCCACTTGGAGAGGGAGGTATTTTGCCACATAACACCCTTCTTGCGTCACTGTAGAATAAGATTTCAATGCACGAAGGACTGAGGTTTTTGATGATGGCGTTCGTCGCTTCTGCATGGGGAAGGGTAGGGGCTCAGAATAGATACTAGTCGCGCCATAAAGTCCGTAGAACCTGTGCAGAATGTTTTTTCGCCCGCGCCGCTGCGATTTCCCGTTTTTTCACAAGTCACATGCACTTTTTTAGGCAAGCAGCCCGCGAAAACTTTTATGGACTTTGTTTTATGGACAGTACATTTGCACCGTGCATCAACATTCAAGGACCTTTTTTGAAGGCAAATACAGTGGGGGACCAGATCCTGTGGCAAAAAACAAACCATTTTGCATCTGAGACGTATCAAAAATGTGGCAAAATGCCTCCTTCTCCAAGTGAAAAAAACCCCTATTTCAAAAACCCAAGTCAATTCTAATAAAAATATCTGTCGCAGCACTTGCAAATCCCCTTGCAAGATGGCCCAAAAAACCTAAAAATACTCACACAACTGTGAACAGTTTTGTCCGTTGCATCGACGACTGACGTTCTCTGTTGGCGGCAGCAAGCGATGCTGCTCTAGCGCGACGAACCGAGAAGGACGGACGTTCTCGCCATTTGGAGATGCGATTGCAAATCCCCATCACGGAATGGATCATGTTCAAGGTCTTGCTGGGCTCCTGATTCTTCATCCTCTTCCGCATCTCCTTGATTTCGCTTTTCGATAGTGGAACCAAAATTTCAAACATTAATTTAAGGGTCTTCGTTCATTTTCAGGGCCTTGAAATAGCCTCAAGGCGGAAAATTTGGAAAATTTGTATTTTCATAAAGTGCGTAGACTTTTACACTGTGCAGTTGACCTTTTTTCTTGCACAGTGCGGCGCACGAGGAAAATCCATGCACTTTATGAAAATGCTAATAATAGTCTTTTTTACGTATTTTTTATGCTACTAGTATTTTCATAAAGTGCATGGACTTGTCGCGGTCCGCAGCGTGCATAAAGACCCCCATTTTGCACCGTGCATTCCACCTTATTGACTATGTGCATTAAAATATCGCAGCGACATAAGCAAGTTTCAACTATGTCGCTGCGGCGGCGCCTCCAATTTGCACAGTGCAAACGGCTATTTTTGAGGTTTGCACGGTGCGAAAAAGAAAATGCACTGTGCGTTAGCGACAAGGATGGGAAAAGGTTCAAGATGCACTGTGCGAAAACGAAGAAAGGTCAATGCACTTTATGAAAACACTATAAGTCTGTCGGGGAAATAATGAGCGGTTGCTGCGGCAATCTCGTCTCTGAAGTGAAACGCAATTTGATTTTGCCGCGATGCAATTCAATTTCTATGCGATTTTCAAGCGACAGAATGCTCATTATTTTCCCGACAGACTGATACTAATAACAGTCGGTATAGGCAGCTTAAACTCATCGCTCATCAATCTACCTTTTGTGTTGTGCCGATTGTGCCAAACATCAGTTACAGTGAGCTTGTTCTCCGTCAAGATCCCTTGCATGTTGGTTGCAATGACGGTAGCGGCGCCCAGCTCGTCGATTACATCCAAGTTGCGGATGTAAATGTGTTTTCGAGCCAAGCGTTTGGCAATGATCGCCAAATGCGACATCATCGCCGGCGGCAATCCCTGTGGCACGTTGGCCACAACGATTACCAGGAAACCGACAACGAAGTAGTAGAGGATGTTTTGGAAGCTGTAAAAAAGTATTTTTGTCATTTACAGAGAGAACATTGTAGCTAAAATATTGTGAATTTTGCAATCTTACCCATTAACAATACAGCCGACAATGAAGAAGGCCAACGCCATGAACAACGCGATAAAACTGATCCTCCCGACGGCTCGTTTGATGTCCTGCCTCATGAGGCTTGTAGTCCCATGTTGTAGGTACATATCCGACATGTTTCCGAGGAACTAAACGTTAATGTTATATGTATTTAGCAGAATGTATGAATAAAATAGAGGGCTTCTGCAATACAAGCGAATTATCAGTTTGTCGGGAAAATAATGTGAATTTGTCGCATCAAAAATATATCTCGTCGAGATAGAGCAGTAAATCTCTCACTAGCCGTCGAAAAGCAATGATAGGCGATTTTGCAACAAATCCACATTATTTTCCCGACAGATTGGTAACTATGACCGGAATGACTTGAAATGTATCGTTGTCGCAAAGCCGTCAGCGAAATTATGCCTATTATTTTTTGTATTATCATGCTGCTTCGTATTATCGATCTGTCGGGAAAATAATGAGTAAAATGTCGCTTGCCAATCGTGTCACTGAAGTGAAAAGCAATTTGATTTTGTCGCGACACAATTCGTTTTCTCAGCGGCGATACGATTTTCGAATCGACAGAGTGCTCATTATTTTTCCGACATGCTGATATAAGTTCCTAGACCGCCAGTTAAGCCCTTAGGCACTAATCTCGGGGTGACCGGAATAGATCCCTCGCTATCGGTTGTTTACACTTCGTCTTGATTTGACAGAGAAGTCAGAGAAAAGACGCGCAAAAACGTACTCGCTCGCTCTAAAACTTCCCCATTTCTTCTCCGACAAAAAGTTTTTTCGCGTATTTTTTGGCGAATTGCAATCCGTTCACGGAACCTTTTTAGCTTATCTCAGTTTGACGTGCCTCGTACTAGTCGTTCCAGAAAGTGCCTTTGATCTATCAGTCTGTCGGAAAAATAACGGCGGATCGTCGCATCAAAATGTCTCGCCTCGCCGCTATCGCGCACCAAATCCCAAGCTGCGCCTTGCAGTCGAAAAGCGATGATGGGCGATTCCGAGGCGCGACGATCCGCCGTTATTTTCCCGACAGACTGATATTGCACCGTTCTTTGTCTACGCACTTTCTGAAACGACTGGTAGCCGCAGACGGATCAGCCTACTTTCAAGACTTTTACTCAACTTACCGTAAACTTCCCCGTCCTGATCACCAGCCCAATCCCATCCCCATCCGCCACATAGGTCCCTTGGAACGCGACATTGTACGCATTGAACACACTGACATGCTTGGCCGCCATCTCATGCGTATACTCGACCGGCGACTGATTCCCTGTGATCAGCGACAGGTCGATGCGCAGCCCGTTCGACTGCAATATGCGCACGTCGGCGGGGATTCGTTGCCCCGAATTCACGTGTATCAAATCCCCCACCACCAGCTCCTCGGTGGGAATGCAGCGCGTCTCGCAGTCGCGGATCGCGAAACAATACTGCCCGACGACGTCTTCGGTGGTGTGCACCACCTCCATTGTTTTGCGCTCCTGCCAAAACGACATCAAACTCATCAGGATGATGGCCGGGATCAGGATGAACGCGGTGGTCGGGTTCAGCGCATTGTCCGCCTTGTGGTCGATCTCTCGGATCACGTATGCGACAATGCTGAGAATGGAGGCGCCTGTAATTGAAAATGAGCGAAAAAAAGTGAAGAAAAACGACTCAAAGCATCAAAATGCAAAAAAGGGAAAATTTTATGTTTTTTCGATTATCGCGTTATGCAGAAAATGAAAAAAATGAAAAAAATAAAAAAATTTTCAATGTTGGCCTCGGATTTTTTTCAGAAAAGAATGCGGTTTTTTTGAGATTGCTGAAAATCGCGTTATGCAGAAAGTGGAAAAAAGTGAAAAAATACGAAATTTTGAAATTTTTTAAATTTCGACTTAATTTTTTTCCAAAAAAAAATATTATTGTTTTTTTTGAAATTTCAGAAAACCGCGTTATGCAGAAAGAAGAGTAAAGTTTTTAAAAATGCTATTTCTTTAAATTTGATTTGAATTTTTTCAAAAAAGAATAATTTAATTTTTTATATAGGTTGCGAATAAACGCGTTATGCAGAAACTATTCACCCGAAAAATTAGAACTTTTTAATTACGACTTACCGAGTAATAAAAGCCAAAATTTGTAAAAATGTTGATTCAAAAGGTAATTCCAGCGGCTCTTTTGCTTCGGCTTTTCCACCAAATTTGGCCCGCCATCTTGGAAGCGTTTTCTAAAAAAATAAAATTTTTTAATAGAAAAAAATATAAAAAAATCTATTTTTTCGAAAAAAAATTTCACCTCGCTTCATGCAGACCCAACCCATCACTGCATTCCGGCTGATCCGCATCAATGTAGGAGTCGGCGTAGATGTCCTTGAGCTCCTCCACGCTCAATTGATGCTCCACATAGCTTCCACTGAGGTCTTTGCGACGTTGGGACCCCAACCTTTTAATATTTTGATTGGGTTTTGGTTTGCCTGCCTTCAGTAATTTCGCAATGAAGGCTTTCATCCAACCCGCTGAAAAAAAAGGTTTGTTTAAATTTTTTGAAAGATTTTTTTAAGTATTACAAAGATTCGAAAAAAACTATTTTCGATATCCAAAAAAGAAAAAATATATATATTTTCTCCCAAAAAATGACTACATATAATTTCTACCTTTTTATGACAGGGAATAGTGCTCAAAATGATGGAACTGTGCACAAATTTAGAGTACTTTTTTCGAAGACACATGCCAGATTTCTTGCTTGTATTAGGTTGATGCATAATTATCCGGCGTTTTTATTTGCGTGTTTTTTGTTAGTTAAACTTTGCGTTTTGTTAACTTTTTTTCATAAAAATAATCTTCCCTGTTTAGTTAATAAAATGACTGTCGAAAACCATACTCATATTCGCCGTATTATGCTCTACCACTTCGAGAAAAGTTGGAAGTCAGCACGGTCATTCCGTGGTCTCAACGAACTTTTCGGCGAAGATAAAAACGACCGAGATTTTTAGGTTGGAAGTTGGCAAAAATGGGGCACTTTTTCTTTCGGCCTAAAAACTTCCGTACCTATTTCGAGTGTAGAGGCAACGCGTTTCCTTTTGTGGCTCGATAATTCGGCGACATTTCGTCAAAAATCCATGATCCGAGATCCCCTGTTTTTTCACTTTTTTTACGTGAAGTACCCCAGCGCTCACATTTTGATGAAACTTTGCATAAATTTAGGATATTTTTTTTTCTAATACGCATGTGTCGCGGCCAGCGACGCTGATGACGTAAGTCGGAGGCGGAGTTACCGCGCATGTCTAAACCCAAGTCTTAGCGCCTCGATCGAAGATCGCAGAGCGAGGGAAAAGCGATGAAGATGGCCGGTTGGGTTTGGAATAATAAATGTAATTTTTAACCGGTATGGATATTGAGTATTGTCTAGTAAACGGATACGCCGCTCGGGTACGTGGAAGGCGGTGAGATACCTGGCCCGGAAGGCTAGGTCAATCCATCGGTCAGCCCCGATCCCCTAAGGGAGGGGTCTGTTACACATGCGAGAATCCTAGCTCACGCTTTACAGAAACAACCAAGATTTTTAGATTGAAAGTGGGAGAAAATGTGAGACCTTTTGCCGAATTTCAGCACGAAAAATTTCATACTTATTTCTACCGTAAAGTGTAATGTTTCCACAAAAAGTCAATTTTTTCCGCACGAAACTGCCAAAGTTATGGTCAAAAAATGCTTTTCTCCCTGACCGCTCTCCGGGTTTAGCGTACTCTCTTGGCGGCAAAGATAGTTCAATATCTCGAAAGCGCTTGCAAAGCGCGAGCTAAGACTTTCAGGAATTGTTTTTTAGTCCATGCCCGACGTGTGTGCAAAATTTAAAGAAAATCTGAGCGTTGCACTTGGGGTACGTTCCATTCTAAACTTGAAAAGATATGGCCAAAAAAGTATTTTTTCTCCGACCGTTCTCGGCGTGCGCCTACGCTCGGGCGCAACTATTGTTGCTAAAATTCTGTCTTATCCGAGCTCGCACTGGGCTGACGGATGTATGTAAGGAAGCGGGGTAAAAGTTCCTTATTTTGGCCACAACTTATAACTTTGCGGAAACTGGTTGGAATTAGCCCAAATTTAGCGTGCACGCTCAATTCATCGGTGTCAATGCCCGGACAGTGGATTTAGTTCGTGAGGTACCTTCTTTTTCACGTACCACCTTACCCTTCAAAAACGGCTGCGGCCTGTGATTGTACAGTTTATACGATGAAACATGTCCGGAACTAAACTTATTGCCTCCGTATGGAACTAAATGAGTCGTCACAGCTTTCGTAGGTACCCTTAAAACTATAGAAATTATAGTAATTCAGTGCCAGCTAGGTCGAAGCGTTTTTTTTCCTTACTTTAGTGCCCAAGCGTGGGCGCAGTTCGCGGAGTACCCTTGTTGTGGCCAAAAAATAAGGAACTTTTTCCGGAAGCGGATAACTAGTGTGAATAAAAAAACAGTAAAAGTAAATACATTTGCCATGCACGGTGCGAAAATTGGACCTTTTTGCACTGTCCAATTTCCTGCCTTTTGCACCGTGCAATAGGCTTTTTCGGACTGTCGCACGCACCCTGACGTTTTTCGCACAGTGCAAACGCAAAAAATCAGTCCGGCGACCTTCCGCAAGGACTACCATGCATGCATATTAATATAACGTATATTTTTCCCTCAAAAAATGACAAAAATTCTTGTCTGTACATAAATTATTGAGCTTCCAACGAATTATAATGATCTTCCAAAAAACAGAACATTTTTTATAAAAAACACGCGACAGAAAGTGCAATCAAGACCGGAAAAAGAGCAAAAATAGAAAATATGACAAAATGGATGCTAGTGGAGTCAATTATCGTAATAGTAACGGTAAATGCAAGGGACGAAAAGTTGACCACTCAATTTTGTATCATGATATCATAAAAAATCGAAAAAAGGAACAAAAAAATCTAGATATTCGGCCAAATAGTCACGATCTAATGAGACTTTCGACGGCCAAATGTGATGATTAAGGCCCAAAATATTGAAGAAACAGGCTTATAACATTGAAGAGGACGCGTTGAGGGAAGCCCAAAGGAGGTGAAACACTACCAGTAGCATTTTCATAAAGTGCATGGACATTTTTTCTGTTTTGCACAGGGCATTTGGAACTTTTTCCTACACTTTTCGCCAATGCCCAGTGGATTTGCTTCGCACAGCTTTTTACACCTCAAGAAAAGACATTTACACTGTGCAAAGTCCTGGCACCGCCGCAGTGACACAGTTGCAACTTTCTTACGTTGCAGCGACATCGATGCACAGTGCAAAAAACAAACAAAGTCGAAATTCAAGGTTGCAAAATGTGGGTTCTTCGTAGTCAAAAAATATTTTCTTTCAATAAAGTTTTTTGTTTCTTGGCCAAATTTTTGAAGCCTTCAAAGGTAAATATTTCAATGTCAAAACGGTAAAGTACACCGAAATATTCAGTAGTCTTCGCCAACGACAGAGAATACATAACCCCAATTTGTTCCAGGTTTTATGAAAGCCTGAGTCTGGCGCTTCGAGCACCTTGTTAATAACAAAGCGGGTTTTGGCCATTTTTTTGCCTATTCCTGCGGGAAAATAACAAAGTCCAAGCTCGCTAAAACCCTTTGCAAAAATTATCGAGACTAAGGCCCAAGGGCTTAACTGGCCTTTAGGAACCTATATCAGTCTGTCGGGAAAATAATGAGGACTCTGTCGCATCAAAAATCATATCGCGAAAATGAAATTGTCCTGTGGCAAAATCAAATTTATTTTCTGTTCAGCGCAATGTGATCGACGCGACCACATCTTGCTCATTATTTTCCCGACAGACTGAGACGTACAGGGTGGTCCAGCTAAGTTCGCGGATGTAAAATGCTTATAACTTTTTATAGGATTGTTCAATTTTTATGAGCAATAGCTCATTTTATTCCTTAGTAGTTGCCATTTTGTTTAAAAAAAAGATCATTAAAAACGATCAATCCTACGTCGAGTTATGACCCTTCAAAGTCAAACATGCTTTTTCACGTAAATTTTTAAAAAAATTTAATTTTCAAAAATTTTTGAATTGCGGTGTCACCGCTCGCTCGTACCGGGAAATGATGGTGAACAGAGCGATCCCAGCTATCCAAAATTGGCCTAATTTTGTCAGTTTTGTTTTTCAACAAGACGGCGCGCCACCTATAGCGGTCCGTCAACTTCTTGACCAGGTTTTTCCAAGTCGTTGGATGGGCCGGGGATCTGCGCGGCAACCAGCTCCAATTGCTTGGCCCCCGCGTTCACCTGATCTAACTCCGCTAGATTTCTCCATTTGGGGGTTCTTAAAACAGCGGATTTTCATCAGGGATTGGCGCCCAAAGACGTGGAATTGAAGCGCGTAATCGAAGAAGAGGTGGAACGAGTTCGTCAGGATGAACAAATGAGGCGCCAAATTATGGAAGAATACCAAAGACTGGCAAAATTGGGCCAATTTTGCATAGCTGGGATCGCTCTGTTCACCATCATTTCCCGGTACCAGCGAGCGGTGACACCGCAATTCAAAAATTTTTGAAAATTAAATTTTTTTAAAAATTTACGTGAAAAAGCATGTTTGACTTTGAAGGGTCATAACTCGACGTAGGATTGATCGTTTTTAATGATCTTTTTTTTAAACAAAATGGCAACTACTAAGGAATAAAATGAGCTATTGCTCATAAAAATTGAACAATCCTATAAAAAGTTATAAGCATTTTACATCCGCGAACTTAGCTGGACCACCCTGTACTAGGTTTCATCAAAATCGAATTGATTGATCTCGTTGAACCCAGGTTTTCAAAAAAAAAAACGCACTCCAACAAAAGCAAGTTCATGAATTGCCTTGTATTTCCTCCATCCGCCTTTTCATAAAATACACATCAATAAAATCGAACGCCCCCGTTCAGCTATTGTCCAGAACGCCGAGCAAAAAAGCCCTCGAGTTGAGAATAAACAAAAAAAAAAGACGAATCCGGGATCGAAAACTAACTGTGGAAATGATCCCCCACTTACCGGCAGAGCTGAGAAAAAAGATGATCGGTTCGTATATTTATCAATGCCTCTTCCACCACCACCAAAAAAAGAATCATCGGCGGATCAATCGCCGGTGAAAAAAGCCGCCAAGGTTGCGCAAGAGCCCAATAATACCCCCCAATTTCTTTTTTTTTTTTTGTTCAATCGCTTTCGGAAAGTCTTGCAGATCAAGATGGCTAACTGTTCGCTGGCGGCTTTTGATCATGCGCTGATTATTTCCGAGGAATATTCGTTCGGTTTTAATGGGGAGAGCGCGTGGTTTTGAGGGAGAGAAGAGCGACTTGTAAGCGGTAAAAATTTGAGGTGTATTTAGAGGGTTGCCCTTGAAATCTGGTTATGTAAGCTAGTGGGTTGGGTATTACAGTGACAGACCTCATCCAGTGGCAAAGAACGTAACATTTTGCATCTGGGAAGTATCAAAAAATGCAGCAAAATGCCTCCCTCTCCAACAAAAAAACTCCTTTTTGAAGGAAGCGCTCTTTCCCTAGCAGAAAGAGCGGGCACGCTTTTGAAATGGGAGACTTTCACTGGAGAGGGAGTCATTTTGCTACAGTTTTTGATACTTCCCGGATGCAAAATACTTTGATATCAATTTCAGAAAATTTCAGCTCGCGCTTTGCGGGCGGAACCGAGAGATCTAACGATTTTTTCCGACAAGACTCGCGACGAATCTTTATCAAAATTTGAACGTCGCACTTGGAGCACGTCTCCTGTAAGATGTCAGTCTGTCGGGAAAATAATGAGCTGCGTCACTGCGCCAATCACGTCGCTGAAGCGAGCATGCAAATTCGGCTTTGCCGCGACACAAATTATTTTCTCGGCGATGCGATTTTCGTTGCGACAGAGTGCTCATTATTTTCCCGACAGACAGATAAACCAACTAAAAAAGCAAATACAACAAAATAAAATGATGAGTGGTACAAAAACTCTTCCCCAAACCTCCAATCAAACGTTTGTCCAATCCCCAAACCGCTTCATAGTAAAGGCTCAATTCCCCCAGATTTGAATAAATTTCGGCTTTCGATGGAGACTGCCATTACGTAGCGCGAGCAAAGTTTGTCCGAATGATTCAAAAGTGTTTTGAAAAAAAATTGCAGCAGGTGTCTTTTGCGATGTAAACATGTATGAATGGAACATGCACTCCAAACTAAAACCAGTGATCGCTTTTTTAAACGCTTTGCACTATATGGATATGTGTTGTATGCCTGTAAATAAGGCGCTTATTGTGGTCTGGGAAGGGCTGGAAGGAGTACAAGTGGGACGCTCAGGTTTTCTTCAGACTTTGTACACAGTTCGGGCATTGGTCGTATATCAATTCCTGAAAATTTTAGCTCGCGCTATGCAAGGGCAGCCGAGATATTCAACGATCGTTGGGGCCGAGAGGGTACGCGGAACGCGGAAGTCGCTAAATGTTTCTCGGAGCTTCCTAGCCCGTGCTATGCAGAAAAACCCAAAAGTTTTTGCGGGCCCACACTTGCGGGCAGAAAAAGCACGGAGATTCCGCGGGCGTGTTTGTAAATCGAGCAACATTTGCTTGTAACAGGAAATTCCAACGATGGATTTTACAGTCAGATGCTGGGAATTAAGTTTCCATGTGTATAAGTGGCTTGAATAATGACCATAAAATTAAACAGGCATTTTTAAAGGTTCATAAGGCATTTTTTTTAAAAAAGCTCCCATAACCTCGAAAGCGGTGGCTGAATTCAACAGATTCGTGTGCTTGTCTGTACCGCGGAGTACAATAATAATATAATATAACTTTGCCAGCTTCGCGCGGAAAAATTTTTTTGTGGGGACATTAGCCTCTACAGTAGAAATAGATACGTGATCTTTCATACAGAAAATCACAAAAAGTGTGCCACATTTTTTTCAACTTTTGGCTTAAAAATCTTGCAAAACGCGAACTAGCTGTCTAGCATATCCCTCATAAATGTTAAACTAACTCTGTCCCAAGTTTTTGTCATCAAAATCTGAACGTCGTACGTGATATTTCCCTATATCTCCATTGAGTTTATGCCAAATTTGATTAAAAAACTGAGCTTGGAACAAGGAGATTTCCCCTGCGAAAGAAGATTTCACGCAGCCTTAACAACCCCACCCTCTTCCCCGACAAGACGAATTTAGAAGGAGCGGGTGAAAAATCCGCACGGACTGGTGTAAAGGCGTCAACTATTACAATTGATGCATTGTAATCATCTGTCAACCTGACCGAAAATATTAAACCGGCCGCCTGATTCGATTTTATTTTGATTACTGGAGAAAACCGGGAACGCCGGGCCGGTTTTCAGTCATATTACATCAAAAGGCTATTCAGAAAGTGTCGGTTCCATTGAGACGGAAGCGGCAAGACGAAAGGGAACGTGAGGTTTTGTTTGGTCTAAGGATGGGCTGAATCTAGAGGTAGTTGCTACACTAGCAGTGTATCAGTCTGTCGGGAAAATAATGGAGGGTAGTCGCGCGTTGCAATCGCCCATCGTTTCTTTGGGACGGCTAGCGGGAGCTGGAAATTTGATGCGCGACTGCAACGTTTCTCGACGAGACAAAACATTTTGCAGCTACGAACCGCCACTACTTTCCCGACAGACTGATAATATAAGGTCGCGTTCGATTTCGCGGGATCATAAGAATTCGGGACCGGCAGAAATCCCTAGTTTTTCGATTTTTCAATTTGCGGGCTTTTTGTCGTGGTCCGCACCGTGCACAAAGCCCTTTTTTGCGGCGTGCATGTGACCCTTTGCACCGTGCTAGTGCAATATCGCAACGACGCAAACTTTTCTCAACGGAGTCGGCGCGAATCTTGGGCACGCGAAAGGAAATTTCCTGTGCAAGATGTTTCGAAAAAGACTGCGTTGCGCAACATGCATGCGTTGCGAAGAAAAAGGTAGAAAATAGTGCGCGCTTTCTTGAATGACTAGTAATCGCGGCAAAGAAGTCTTGGGGATTTTCTGCGACCTTGCACTGTGCTTTTTGTGCAATAATCATCTCAGGCGTCGAAAAATCCGGCCGAAAAAGCGAGTTTCCACAGTGCAATTTCGTTTTTTTCACTACTAGTCGCGCTATAATACAGTGGGGGACCTGATCGAGTGGCAAAAAACGTGTCATTTTCCATCCGGGAAGCATCAAATATGTGGCAAAATGCTTCCCTCTCCAAGTGAAAGATCTTCGTTTTGAAGGGCGCGGCCTTTTTTCTCACAAAAAGAGTGGGCGCGCTTTTGAAATCGGAGTTTTTTAACTTGGAGAGGGAAGCACTTTGCCACATTTTTGATACTTCCCAGATGCAAAATTGCACGTTTTTTGCCACTGGATTAGGTCCCCCACTGTAGTAGAATTGTACGCTGCGTTCTTCTTTTTTTGCCCGTGCGAAAGCAACAGGTGGTAGATCGTATTTTAGGAACCAAAGAGTATTGTGTTTTACCTTGAGGTTCTTATTTTTACTTATAAGACAGCAAAATTTCACGGCTTCCTGCTGCTTTGTAGGGCGGTTGGACGGACCATTACACACTGTGCTCCTTCAAAGTCGAGACGAGAAGGTCAAACTGCAAAAATAATATGAAAAGTTACACCGTATTTAACAAAACGTTTGTTTATTCAACAACCGATCACTGTACAACAAACTGCAGTTGACTATTTACAATTTGATAACGGTGGTTACTCAAAAAAAAAAACACTTTACGATTGCAGTTGTAATATGTATTATACAATGGAGGTATCTTTACAACCTCTTGACCCAATCATTTCCCCGTCCTTGGTAGAAACCGCCGCCGGTTGAGGCGACCGACGCAACTGGAGCCGGCTGCGCAACGATTGTTTCAGTTGCGGGGACGTAGGCTTGGCCAGAGTAAGCGGCGCCCTGGTATTGCCCTGAAATATCGAGCTTTTGAGTGGTAGACTGGGTTTCTTCAAATTTTGAGGCTTTTATAGGTAACCACTGGTATTTTGATAAAACAGGCCGAAAAAAGTGTACGCATTTTCTGGGACGACTAGAAAATCTGTCGGGAAAATAACGTTTTTTCATGCAAACATAAGAGCACCGAAAATGGGCACATGCTTTCAAAATAAAACTTTATTAAAAAACGTAAAAAATATTGCAATTAGTAGCGGTTGTATTGCACAATTACAAAAAAAAAATAAAACAAAAGATTTGTAGCAGGTTGGAGGGCACTTGGCAAGAACTCTGTGAAGTATCAGGCAGAATTTGATCTCATCGCGTAAAGTGGCTTAGAAGAGGATCCCTAAAACATAAATTTTATAGCGGTACAACGACATGTTAGTAATCACCACCGAAGTAAACGAGGAAAGGCAAAAAATGAGAAAACCTATTGTTACAGAGGCAAAACAAAAAATTTTTTGGGATATACTACAGCCATCGAGAGGACAATTTCAGTCTGTCGGGAAAATAATGAGGACTTTGTCGCATCCAAAATACGACATTGTGCTCATTATTTTCCCGACAGCCTGACATTAACAAATCTCAACATACCTCCAGGGTAGACTCCTCGAGGATAGACGCCATACGGTTGTCTGTAAGGCGCATATGCGGCACGATAATTGTACGCAGAGTACGGAGTTCTTGGGGCGTATCCATACGCCGGGTTCTGATAGTACTGTCGGACAAGGGCGTCGCCAAAGTATTCGGGGGCTTGCTCCTGATTCCCGTACCCCAGATATGGTGCATCACCGGTCAATGCCTTGAGTTCGGCGACTCCACCGGCCGCATATGTTTGGCTGACGAGGAAGGCGGCTGAAATACGGTGAAAATAAATTTCTATCGCGTCCCGACTTTTCGGGTCGACGACAGTTCGAACAAAGTTGATTGATATGGGGTGTAGGCCAGGTGGGGACGCCCAAAAAAAAGGTTGTAGAAAGTGCCTACAAGGCCTGGCAAAGCCGTTGGACGGTCGGCGGACTTTGGGCGGAGGCTCGGCGGACGCTCGGCGGAGACTTGCAATATGTCCGCTTTTTTTACTTTAGCTATTACTAACGTTAGTACTCTTTATCCTGAGTTATCGTAACATATAAACGACCAAAATTTGCGGCAAAAAAATGAAATTCCATGACTTTTTTCTATGTATTGTTGATGTAAGCACATGTAAAATATCTTTTTTATTATTGATAAGCTGTCCTAGGACTCTCATTCTTCATATCTGAATGAGGGATATGAAGAATAACTAGGCCTTTTCCTAGACCCCTCCGTGGATACAACGACCAACCGTCGCGATCCATAGCATCATTGACCTGAACTGTAGTTGACCCGAAAAGTTGTAGCGCCGTAATAAAAAACGAATGTTTTGACTTACCCAAGATGGCGAGGATTACTGTGGAAAGTTTGCTCATGGTTTCTTTTCTATATCTTTATCTGAAAATCAGCAAAAATGATTGAAATACCGCCAAAATGTTAACGCAAATTTACAGTAAAGATCCCAGAAAACACGTGAGAAATGGACGAAGATGATCTCCAAAAATCCTCTGCCACTTCGACACCCCCTTATATGGTATTTATTCAAAACAAACAAAAGGAGCGGAGAGGAAAGACAACCAAATTCTCCACCATCTTATGCCCTTCAAGTCGGCGACGCATCCGAAAAAGTGTTTTAAAAAAACGAACAATTTTGGGATTAGTAACTAAACTTTTCGAATTGAAATTTCAAACTGTCTTTTGAGGTTTACTGGTCAAAAAAAAGTTGGAAAAATTTGAGAGTTTCGAGCGAGGAAGGGGTGTTTTATTCTAATCCCAGACTCATCCTCGAAGCGCTAATTTGATGATAGAGAATGTTGCAAGATCTTCTTCACCTAGCAGGATGACCAACTAGTAACTTAAGTAACTTAATTTAGTTAAGCCTCTAATAGAGATGATGACACAATTTCACCTGCATATGGCGATGGTTTCTAGTTTTAGAAACCACCGCCATTTTTTGGCTTACAGAGGAAGTATCACTCTGTCAGGAAAATAATGTGGGCTTGTGGCGGCTTGGAATTGCCACATCATTGCTTTGCGACGGCTAGCCGAAGTTAGAAATCTGATATGCGACTATACCCTTTTTTCGATGAGGCGAAATATTTTACTGAAAAGACCCATCACAATTTTCCCGACAGACAAAAAATATTAGTCGTGCCATAAACTCCGTAGAATTTGCATGCTGCGTTTTTTGCACATGCCGCTGCGACTTGCAGGCGCACCCTGTCACCGAAAAAACTGCACAGACTTTTTGGCCCGCCTAGTATCAGTCTGTCGGAAAAATAACGGTGGATCGTCGCACCTCGGAATCGCCCATCATCGCTTTGCGACTGCAAGCCGCGGCTTGGGATTTGGTGCGCGATAGCCGCGAGGCGAGACATTTTGCTGCGAAAATCCGCCTTTATTTTCCCGACAGACCGATAGTAGGCACAACCTTGCCTGCGTTTTCCAGAGACTTGGCTTACAGTGGAAGTGTTCCAAATTCGCCGCTCCGGTTTTGATAAACCTTGGCAGAAGTTTAGATGAAGCACTTTTAAAAGACATTTAGATCCTCTTTGCGGTTTCCAGAAACGACCGAGATCTTCAGGCCAAACCCTAGTAAATATCAGTCTGTCGGGAAAATAATGAGCATTCTGCCGCATCGAAACTCGCATTGCCACCGAGAAAATGAATTGTGTAAAATCAAATTTCTTTTCTCTTCAGCGAAGCGATCGGCGCAGCGGCATTGTGCACATTATTTTCCCGACATGTTGATAAGAATAATACCGCTAAATCGATGGAAAACCTTGTCGACCTCCTCAACTCCCAAAACGATTACTCTCATCCGCAAAAATGAGGCTGCAGAAGACAAAGAGACCGATTACAAGCCACTTTCAGCCACCTTGAAGCCTTTTTCAACAACCAACCGATTGTGTATTCAAATATGGTCATTGCGGCAACCGCTCATCAATTTATACCGCAACGCCTTCATCCCGCTGCAAAGTGGAACCAATGGCCGTCCATAAACTCTCGAGACGCTTTCATTTGACATTGTGTTTTTGTCTTGAATATTATTTGTAAAATGACGTCAGCACCGGAGAATTCAGCCAACTCCGGAAACCGGGCCCACCTCTCTCCCGATTTGCCTCATTGAATCGGGTTTAATTTCGTTGTCGAGAGAAAATGCAACGAAAAACAAGTTCGGAACGTCTTTTTCGGAACGATGACTCATCGAGTTTGTCGTAATGATGGCGTCTTTTGCACGCGTCGTAAATGGAGAGAGGTTGGCGAATTAGTAACATGGAGTTAAAGCAAAGTAATTCGACTAGTTGTAGATGTCAGTGGACTCATGAAAATAAAATGCTATTGGTCTGTCGGAAAAATAATGAGTACTTTTTCGCATAGAAAAACTCACCGAGAAAATAAACTATGTCGCGCCAAAGTCAAATTGCTTTCCACTTCAGCGACGCGATTTTGGATATTTATATATTCTGAAAGCAGAGCCTGTGTTCTACATCCGTGCCAATTTTCAAGCCTTTAGCTTCAACGGCTAGCGAGCAATGAGTTAAAGAAGTTGATCCACTTTGAAAAAATAGAAAAATTTTGGGAAGACGGGTTGTGTCCCAAAAGTAACAGAATGCCGTGCGTTGTATGCATTATTTTCCCGACAGACTGATAGGTGGGCCAATGAAGTCTTGAACAACAGTGGACTTGAAAAAACCTTGTCGTGATTTTTCAAGCAGCGACCAGTGAAATTCATAGGAGCCGTGCGAAAAGATGCCAGGACTTTTTGGCCTGCCTCGTAAAACCTCAATATAAACAACCGCAGGGGATCGCCAATTATATTCGCCCTACCAGGCTGTCGGGAAAATAATGAGCGTTCTGTCGCATTGGAAATCGCACCGCTCACCGAGAAAACCAATTGTGTCGCGGCAGAATCAAAGTGCTCTTCACTTCAGCGCCGCGATTTTGGATGCGACATTGTGCTCATTATTTTCCCGACAGACTGATAAAAGGGATGCAATTTGCTGCACCCAGGATGCAATCAGAGTCGAAAGTACCCCCCTCTTTGAGACGATAACCCCAACCAACAAAAGCGGCAATGTTAAATTGCTTCTTACTTCAGCTGCGCGACCGGGCAGCGACATCGCTTATTATTTTCCTGACTGAACGATAGAAGAGTTTCTTAGTTCGGAGGTTCGTTTTGGCCTAAAATGTACTCTTGCAATTTACGGAGGTTTGTTTTACGTTCTACACAGCGTTGAAACCTTTAAAAGCATTTTTACTGGAAGCAAGACCCAAAATAACACGAAATCTTTAATAATCAAACCTTGAAACCCTTTCGGTCAGCATTACATGCACATGTGTATCACTTATGCAACCTTGGAGATACCGTACTGGCCGAACTTGACCACACTATAGAAATCGTTGACCAAATACTTCCAGTCGTTTGCGGAGAGCGCCTTCTTCACGTTGGTTAGCAGTTGTTTGCCCACCTTCTTCGTAATCAGCTGCTTGACGGCTTTTGAGTAGGCCAATTGGGTCTTTGGAGCGCGCTTCAACAACTTTCTGTAAGCGCCGCCGAGCGAGGGCGTTGCAGCGGCGATGAACTCCTTCTCAAAGGTCTTCATGTTGCTGACATGGTTGTAGAAGGCGAGAGCGGGCGAATAGAACTTGCTCTGCGACACCACGTCGTCCTCCACCGCATCGATGACGGCTGTAATCAGTTCAAGGATTCGCAAATTTCTTACCATTCGCAGCCGCCTTGAAGTTGAGCTTTTCCCGCGAGCTGTTATAGATGGAAACGAGGGCCTTGGTGACGAAAGCGTCGGTCAAGTCGTCGGTGACCAGTGTGGTAAAGGTCTTTTTGGCGGCAGCCAAATCATCGGCCAAGGCGAGGGCTGGGACCAGCAGTAAGATTAGGAGGACCTTCATAGCCTGGAAAAAGTCGGTTGCATTGCGAAGATACCTATACTAGCGAGTGTATGGGACTATGGGGAAAATAGTCGCGGGCCGTCGAGCCTTGGAGTCGCCCATTCATTATGGGCCGCTCACAAGTGATGGTGCAAGAACTAGACAAAATCTGAGAGCTGCACTTACAGTGGGGGACCTGGTCCAGTGGCAAGAAACGTACCATTTTGCACCCAGAAAGAGTCAAAAAACGTGGCAAGATGCGTGAAAAAACTCCGTTTTTAAAAGCGCGCCAACTGTTTTTTCAAAGCCTTCAAAACAAAGTTTTTTTTCACTTGGAGAGGGAAGCATTTTGCCACATTTTTGATACCTCCTGGATGCAAAATGGTACGTTTTTTGCCACTGGGTCAGGTCCCCCACTGTAGGAACCTTATATTTTTTTGTATATCATCCTGTCGGAAAAATAATGAGCACTCTATCTCATCAAAAATCGCACCACCGCCAAGAAAATAAAATTTGTCGCGGCAAAATCAAATTTCTTTCGACTGTAGCGACCCTATTGCTCAGCGACATTGCTCATTGTTTTCCCCACAGACCGATATCAATATACAAGCCCTATTTATATGTTACAGTCTTTGAATTAGATTAAAATCCGAACCATGTGAACGATAAAGGCCGAAAAAATGACGACACATTCAGCCCTGAACGTCGTGGCAAACCGAGCGCCCTTACGGTATTTAAACGGATTACCTGTTGTTTCAGATCGTATGACACAGTTTATCCCTCCAAAATGAGCTTGCGTTCTTGCTCAATCCCCTCGGTTTTATATACAGGGAATCCGGCGATCATAATCGTTTATAATGAGCCGATAATTCACGGTATCACGAAGCGACGTGACAACCGGCCGATACGGAACTCGAGATATGTGGATTGTATTATGGTCCCGAAATATTATGTGATCTTTCCGGTCAGATAACATAAAGCAGAGATGTTGCGAATGTAAGAAGAGAGTGGGTGGTCTTTCGTCTGAAAATACTTGCAGTTCAGAAGTTCAAAAAAGGAAAAAATGATGTTCACGCCTATAATTAAACTCCGTTACGATAAGGAATCTTTCTTTATCCCCTCCACCTGCCACTTCTCCTTATAGAAGATGATTCTGGCTAACGCTATGCAAAAGCAAGCGCTATAAAAATACGGAAGTCGCATTGATTCGTCATGGTTGCAGAGGCTAAGAAAAAGCTCATCGTATAAAAATAATACGATTGATCAAGTCCTTGGAGAGCTTACCACCCATTTTGAGGTGTTTTTACATTTATTACTGCAGTAGTATAGAAATCAAACACAGAAGCCTCGTTTTTTGGGGCAAGCACTGGTCTTTTTCATGCACTAATATTATAGTTCAGGGTCAAGAAAACTAAAGGCGAAAGCTAAAGTTAGAAAAAATTGTCATATTGTAAGTCATCGCCGAGCCTTCGCCGAGCGTCCGCCGAGCATCGCAACGGGTTTTTAAGGCCTTGTCGGCACCTCCAACAACCTTCTCTTGGGTCTCCACGTTTCCTCCGCCTCGTATCAACCAAATTTGTGTTGACGCAAGCTGTCGTTAACTTGAAAAGTCGAAATAGCCTTAACCATTGTAGCATAATTTTCTTTGAATGCAAGACTTTACAGTCTTATCAACTATATAACAATCGACTTTATTTTAGAACACAAGATTCATTTATAGATCATTAGTTGACCCTGGCAATTCCAAGTGTCTTGAACTCCGCGACGTTGTAAAGATCGTCGACAAAGTATTTCCAGTCCTTGGCCGAAGAGGACCTCTTTACCAGCGTGGCTACGGCTTTCACCATCCTCTTGTTTATCATCTAAAGATTGGTTAGGTTTAGATAGTTCATCGACCTACCTTCACAAAGATCTTATTGTAAGCCTTCAACGTCTTTGGCTTGATCTTCTTCACCTAAATTGGTCAGTAATATGCGCATTTTACTCTCCGTACCTTATTGTAAAAAGGTGCGGCCTTCTTCCGAAGCGAGTGTTTGGCAACATCCAGGAAAGCGTCAGTGTCCGAGAGGTGCTCACGCAACGTCATCAACGCACTGATGAGCTTGGTCTGTGAGAAGAACTCGCTTTTGACGGCGGTTTTGAGATCTGTAAACAAAAAATTTGCGAGGGATGTAAGCTTAGTTAGTACCGCAAATCTATACTTTTCGGGTCAGAGACAGTTCAGGTCAACAAATAAAACTCGATACTAGGCGTAGGGGCCAAGAAAATGTTGTAGGAAACGCCTACGAGGTCTGGCAAAGCCGCTGGATGGGATGGTCGGCGGACGCTCAGCGAAGGCTCGGCGGAGACTTGAGGAAGACTAACAGTATGACCAATTTTTATGATTTTATCTATTACTAACCTTAGTTTTCTTTACCCTGAGTTACTATAAGATATAACAAACCAAATTGAGCCCAAAAGATAAAGATCCTTAAGAAGTTTTATTTGAATATTATTACAGCAATTTACCTAAAATATTTGTATTTCCATAAACAAAGCCTTCTGGTAGCCTCCCCATGCAGACAACGAGAAATCTAGGCAACCCAAGGTCCCAAGGTATCGTCGACCCGAACTGTCGTTGACCCGAAAAGTTGTAATGCCGTTAATTCATCGCAAATCAATCGGACTCACTAGTACACGCGGTGTCATAGCTATCTCCAGCCAAAGCGCTCTTGTACAGCGACTGAACTCCCTTGTTGATGATGGAGTCACTCAGCTGGCTACTAATAAATCTCTTTACTTGATTCCTTGCACCCGCCAACTCGTCCGCAGTTGCAATGCATGCCAAGCACGCGGTTAAAAGAAATATCCTCATAATAACCTCAGTAGTATGTTGAACCGTCGGTACAACCGTTAAGCAGAGAAGTTCAAGGTTTGGGTTGGGTTTGCGCAACCCTTTTATGGTTAACGGTCAATCTGCAATGGCGGATAATGCGGATTTCTAAAAGTGCTCTCAGCAAATCGTCCGCAAATGATTTGTTGAATTTTTTGGGCTTGATTTGATGCTATGGATTAATCAATGAGGCTATGGTTTATGTAGTCTCTACTATGAAAAAAAGATTAAACCTAAGAGTGCTATGACAATTGGGATTTGAGGTTGCGTATTTCCCTGCAAGATACGTGCATCCTCTTTTTTTTACAATAGGTTAAGCAAGGTCAAACAGCGAGTGTGAGGTAGTAATGAGTCCGTCAAGAGGAGAATCAAGCTTACATCAGTACGTAGGGAAAATAATGAGCGCAATGTCGCTGCTGCAATAGCGCCGCTGAATTGAAAATTTTGAAAAATTCACAATTTACTTTTTTCGAAGGCGATGTGATTTTGAATGCGACAGAGTACTCATTATTTTCCCGACAAAGTCATAAAAGTTTAGTCTAAATTTACGCCAAACACATGGCCGACATTAAAGTCGACGCGACGCTGATCAAAAGGAGCTCTGCGGAGTTTTTGTCTGTTTATGTGCGCTATGGCTTACAGTAGCCGAAACAGATTGCTGGAAGCCAGTTGGAAATTTGCGATGTATCAGCCTGTCAGGGAAAATAATAAACACATGTCGCTATGCCAATCGCGTTTACTTTACCGCGACACAATTCATTTTCTTGGCGGCGATGCGACAGAGTGCTCAATACTTTCCCTATAGACTGACAGTAAAATACGCCTATTGCAATTTAAAATGACTTTCAAGGTAATTCCAACAGCGATTATCGCTTTTATTTCTTCGTAATGACGATTCATTTGAAAAGCGAAAGTCTCTACGTAACACACAATCCATTCGAGCATTGGTCGGCCAAGGACGGGCAATTGGAGCATGCCGGCCCGATCAGATACAAAGGCTCGGTGAGCACGTTTCCCGGAGGGCTGTAGTCGCAAATCGTCAACGCGTAGTTGTCGAAGTTCCAGCCATTTTGAGGGCCGTTCGTGCAGAACTGAACGGCACAGCCCACTCGGTTCGAGTTTGCCCAAGCCATCTGAAAAACGTAGGGAAAAGTTGACAAGCCGGAAAAGTATCGGCTATCAGCCTGTCGAGAAAATAACGGTAGCGAAGTATTTTGCCAGGTCGAAGAGGGGGTCAGTTGCACAAGATTTCCGGTTAGTTCTCGCAAACCGATGACATGCGATTCAAACAATAAAAGAGTAAGACGTTTACCTGCGTAAAATGGCCGGTTTCATGGCTGAACACGAGGACTTGTGGGCCATACGGATAGATCGAGATCTCCGTCCACCAGGCGTACATGGAGTCGTTTAGGGCGGTCACTGCAATGATTGCGCTGTGACTAAAGCCTTACGGTCTCCGAGTTGCCCTTCTCAAAAGCCAAGTACCCCAATTGCGGCGCACAAATGCCTCGGGTCTTTAAAACAAATAAACCTTTCTGATTTTGTATATAGAAGCCCACTCAAAACCTTACTGTCATCGGTAGCGAAGGACTGTGCCAGGTTTTGGCCATAATCCAAGACCGTGGGATGCTGATAAATGCAATTGGCCGCCCATGACTGCGCCTCCGCTTCGAGGGTCAGATCGTACTGCTGAAGAGCAAAAGCAATGTCGATTATCAGTCTGTCGGGAAAATAATGAGCAGTCTGCCGCAGCGAAAATCGCATCGCCGGCGAGAAGATGAATTGTGTCGCGGGAAAATCAAATTGCTTTTCACTTGAGCGATACGATTGGTCAGCGACATTTCGCTCATTATTTTCCCGACAAACCGATACTATCCGATATTTTAGGACTATATCATCCTGTCTGGAAAATAATGGGTGCTCTGTCGCATCGAAAATCGTATCGCCGACGAGAAAATTAATTGTGCTGCGGCAAGATCAAACTGCATTTCACTTGACACGACTGGCGAGCGACATTCGCTCATGGTGTTCCCGACAAACCGATACTATCCTATTTTCTAGAACTGTGTCAGCGTGTCGGGAAAATAATGAGCACTCTGTCGCATCGAAAATCGCATCGCCGATGAGAAAATAAATTGTGTCGCGGCAAAATCAAATTGCTTTCACTTGAGCGACACGATTAGGCGCAGCGACATCATACTCATTATTTTCCCGACAGACCGATAATACGAAGCAGAAACACAAACTCGCTTACAAACTTTTGCATGTCTGAAGCCTGCGGAAACAGGAATCCACCGTAGCCGGCGGCCTGTCCGAGCGCCATCTGGCTTCGGAACTGATTATGCAGATCCACGACGTATTGTCGCTCCGAGTCCGTGAGGCCATCGCAGCGCAAGGCAACACTACAAACAGTGGTTAGAGCTACAAGAAGTTTCATTTCACTTCCATGCAGCAGCAAGTATTTCAAAATTCGCGTCGGTTTTGAGACCCTCGGCGACGCTGACTAATTCGCCGGCTGAATCAGAAGTCAAATGGGCCCGCGTTGGGCCGAAACTACAAGAAATGTTGGGGATGTGGGTCAAAAATCATTTGGTTAATTTATGCAAGAGGAAGAAAAGTGAGCACACAACTAGCAGAAGGTCTAAATGGAGGCGCTGAAACAGGTTGAGATCCAAATGTTTGGGCCGCAGCGCCTTCTTCCAATGAGATCGGCGGCTCCGGCGGACGGCGCGGTTCACCGTGGACACAAAGAATTGGTGGGTTGGGATCACGGTGTCCTGCAGGAGAGCGGAATACTTTTGACTTTGATTTAGATACCTGAAGGAAGGGGAAATACGAAACTGTTGATGAAAACAATAAATGTGAAGTCTCGGAGAGAACAAAATGCCGATGAATATAAAAAATGATGTAAATGCAGCTTACCGGTCGTCGTCTAAGATGCTGGACAAGGCATGAACAAAAGTATCGGCGCGAACGGACATTTTATCAACGTACACCCCAAGGCCTTTTTCAGTGATCACACGAGCGTTCTTGAAGTGGTCTAAAAACACGCTTTGGGTTAGGCCGTCTACATACAGTGGGCGAGCTGGTCAAGTGGCAAAAAAATCTCCATTTTCACCCGGGAAGCATCAAAAATGTGGCAAAATGCTTCCCTCTCCAAGTGAAAAAAACTCTCTTTGAAGGGAGCGCCCTTTCCAAAATGAGCGGGCGCGCTTTTGAAATCGGAGTGTTTTTGCTTGAAGAGGGAAGCACTTTGCCACATTTTTGATTCTTCGCTGATGCAAAATAGTACTTTTTTGTCAGTGGATCAGACCCCCACTTTAGTCCTTTCGAAAAATCGCCATACTGACTCTTGATGTTTGAAATGTTCGAAAAAAGTCAGGGTGCGAGCAACAGCTGAAAAAAGCCCTATTGCACGGTGCGAAAAGCAAGAAATTGCACAGTGCAATGAAGACTTTTGTTTTCGCGCACCGCGTGTTGCTGATTTCAGTTCGGCGACTTTCCGGAAGGGCTACTAGTCGTTTCAGAAAATGCGTAGACTTTTTTCGGTCTTCTTTCACACCACGCAGTGCATGCGACGCGACCGTTTTCGAAACATTTTTCACTGTGCAATTTCTTTTCGCCTTTCCAAAATTCCGGGTCCGTTGAGAAAAGCGTGCAGCGATACTGCACTCGCACGGTGCCGAAGGTCAAATTCACGCCGCAAAAAGGGGTTTTGTGCAGGGTGCGGCCCATGACAAAAAGTCTACGCACTTTCTGGAACGACCGCAGTAACTTTTGAGGCAAGGATGTATTATATCATATCATTGTATGTTATATCATATCTTACAAAGACTATGTCTTTGTAATGAAATTCTAATTCACCTGCAAACAAAGGCATCAAAATCATGGGTCGTCCATTCGAAATGGATTCCAGCACCGTACTCCATCCTCCATGTGTGATGACTCCGCGGTAATTTCGGTGCTCTGAAACTTGTGTTCCTCTAAATCGATGTCAAACCTACTCATCAAGGCCATTTGAGGTATCCAATTAGTAAAAACCATGTTGTCCCTCCTTTCAAAGGCCGTTCGATTACCGGTATTTTCGTATTTTACGATAAAAACCACCTGTTTAAACGCCCTCATCGCCACTTTCAACGACTCCCAGATGTTTCGCGGCATCTCGGAGGTTTTGGCGATGGATCCGAACGTGATCAAAACGAAGCCGTGAACAGATTGGTCCGCCAAAATCTCCCAATCTTCCTCCAACGGCATTGGATTGCCATCAACGGTGATGCCAGCGATATGTTGAATTAAGGTTGATTCGGGCGCGGGAAAGTCGAAAATCGGCGAGATATTTGCTAGCACCATCTCCACGTTCGTCGCGTATGTCATCAAGCTGAGACGCAGCTGATTCTCGTTGCTTTGGGAGCGGATTAGTTGGTTTTCGAAGTCAATGGAGTAGAATTTGTGGGTGAATTCGGTTACCTAACAAGGAGAAAATAAATAGTGGATGGAAGGCCAAGAACTTGGAAACGATGGTGCTTACGACCAAAGAAGCATCCAAATGCATCCTGGATGCACTTGTCTCCGCAAAAAAGGGATTTTTCTAAGCCATTGAGACCCAGAGGGGTCCCAGCGGAGCATAAGAATTAACACAACAGAAAATGTTTCCATTCCTCCTAAAGTGGCATTTCTACAGAGGCGAACTTGATTCAGTAGAAAAAACGTACCATTTTGCTTCCGGGAAGTATCAAAAACGCAGCAAAATACCTCCCACTCCAACTGAAAATTCCGTCACTTTGAAAGCCGCGCCCATTTCGTCACAAAAAGAGCAGGCGCGCTTTTGAAGTTGGGGTTTTTTTCACTTGAAGAGCTAGGTATATTGCTTCACTTTTGATACTTCCTGGATGCAGAATGATACATTTTTTGCACTGGATCAGGTCCGCCACTGCAAAGGTTTCGCTTCGCCAAAAAAGGACACTACTTTCGGTCCGAGAAGGGATGCAAAGGGAAACATATTATATTATGGCATCATGTTTGCATCATCCGTCCGAACCTCTACAGTGACGGACCTGATCCAGTGGCAAAAAACGTACCATTTTGCGTCCGGGAAGCATCAAAAACGTGGCAAAATGCTTCCCTCTCCAAGTGAAAAATCTTCGTTTTAAAGGGTCCTTTCCCTCACAAAAAGAGCTGGCGTGATTTTAAAATCGGAGTTTTTTCACTTGGAGAGGAAAGCATTTTGCCACATTTTTGATACCTCCCGGATGCAAAATTGCACGTTTTTTGCCACTGCAAAAGGTCCCCCCCACTGTATGCTCCGCATAGACTTCTTGTATGTAGCCAATTTGGGAGCCAAAACTTACCGTAGCCACCAACGTATTCACGACCCGTTGGAAAAAACGCATACGATCCGAAAACGAGGAGAACAGCTCTAAACTTCAATAAACATCAATCTGTTGCACAACGCCTACCCGGCACATAGCTTAACGGAAAATTCACACCGATCTGTTCCGGCTGCAGTCGATAGATCGCTGTGGCGCTCAGCCAAATCACAGTTTCCACCTCGATCCGCTGCAATAACCCCAGGCCACAGGCATCGTATTGCTCGACAAATCCCACATCATACGCGTCATTGTGCAGACGTTGAATTAAACTTGTGTCCGCGAAAATATCTAAACATGGGAATGTCAAAAAAGTGAGTGTATTCTACCTTTACAAGCATCAACAAGCACCGAAGAAATTTTGAGAAATTTCAGAAAAATCCTATGATTCAGTGGACTGGCGTCTTCGTAGGGACCCGGATTCTGCCACAGTGACTTCAGAAGACGGTCCTTTTCCATGTCCAGGTCAATGTGGATGTGCTAAAATGTGGTCCTTTTGTTTCAATCCGTCGGGAAAATAATGTGCACTTTGCCGCATCGCCGCCGAGAAAATGAATTGTGTCGCGGCAAAATCAAATTGTTTTTCATTTCAGCGACGCGACCGGCTCAGCGACATTGTGCTCACTATTTTTCCGACAGCGAAAAATATCGCATTTCTAGCAATTCCAGGCCATAAATTCGCATTGGCTTGAGATTTTTAGCCCGCAATTTGTAGAAATCATCAAAACCTTTACATCTAACTGGACCTTGAACCACAAGAATTTTGAATCTTAAAAGTTCATCCTAATCAACCCAGTAATCAACTCGTCCTTCCTACCGTAGTATTCGCCAACCGCTGATATTTGACGTTTGGATCGATGTCGACAATTAGGATCGTCTGAAAGATTTATAACTCTGTGTTTTCCCGGACAAATGACAACAATACTTTGAACAGAGGAAGTGCTTCCAGTACGAAGCTCAGATTTTGATGAAACTTGGCAGGGATTTATACAATATTTCTCTAGGACACATGCCAGCTTCCTAGCTCGCGCTTTGCGGAAACGACTGAGATTTTTAGGCTGAAAGTTGGCGAAAATTTTGTATTTTTTGTCCGAATTTTGGCATGAAAAATTTTCCGCCTACTTCTATAGTAGAGAGCAATGTTTCCACAGAAAATCAATTTTTTCAGCACAAGGTTATGTTTCAATTCCTGAAAATTTAATTTTTGCTCGCGCTTTGCAGATACAGGCGATATTTTTAACGATACTTGGAGCCGAGAGAGTATACGAAACGCGGAGAGCGGTCAGAGAAGAATTTTTTGGCTTGTTTTTGGCTGCAGTAAGGGACCGGATCCAAAGGCAAAAAACGTCTCATTTTGCATCCCCTTGAAGGAAAGGGCGCGCTTTTCAAAGCGGAGTTTTTTAGCTTAGAGAAGGGAAGGGTTTGGAGACATTCTGGTCCCTTCCGGGATGCAAAATGAGACGTTTTTTGCCATTGGATCCGGTCCCTCACTGCAGGCAAAAACAAGCCAAAAAAATCTCCGACCGCTCTCCGCGTTTCGTATACTCTCTCGGCTCCAAATATCGTTCAAAATCTCGTCTGCCCCTGCGAAGCGCGAGCTAAAATTTTCAGGAATTGAAACATAGCCCTTGCCAGACACATGTGCAAAATTTGAATAAAATCCGAGCATCGCACTTGGAGCATCAGACATGTGAAAATAAAATAAATATTAACTCACCACATTATACTCATTATCCCGTAGCATCTCCGCTAGCTTCAAATTGAACGCTACATGACTATACGACAACGTCGGGACATAAAATAACGCTTTTTTAGCATAAACAACGTTCAGTAGAGTGAATAACAATACCGGATATAACATTAAATTTTCATAGCAAATGCATAGATTCTCACAGCGATTGTTCGCTAAATCTGTTTTTTATTACTTTTTGAGACAACCTTGAGTAAATTTTTAGGGGAAAATTTGCGAAAAAACTCTCGACCCAGACGAGAACCGAGGGGAAATTCGGCGGATCATTTTCGCCATTACAATAGAAACGGGGCAAATGAGGTCAGTGTTTCATCACGATCCGATCCGTAAGTGCCGGTTTACTTTACTTTTTTCTTACTTTGAGTGTTTACCGAAACAAGTAGGAGGATTGGGATTAGATCGGCTAAGCTCGAAAGAATCATGGTACATTCTCGGAATCAGAATATACCAAAAATCCAGCGCATTTGCTGAACCGTTTAGACGTTTCGTCCACACACTAACGATCGACCAAAAAATTTTAGATAGCAAAATTCTTTCGGACGAATTTTTGGAAGACAAAATTGGTCCTAAAATATCAAGGAAAATTTAGAACCTCATTTTGACAGCAGAAAGCAAGGTTTAGCCACAACTAGCAAAGAAAAAACAGCCAAAAATTTTCTCCGAAATTCTATTTGTGACAAGACGCCACATTGATTAAATCTTGGCTAGGAAATAGCTTCAACTACGCTGGGCTGCTGTAGAATGCACACCCAGCATTGTTAAAGCTGTTTCCTGGCCAAGATATAATCAATGTGGCGTTTCGTCACAAACAGAATTTTGAAAAAAAATTTTTGGCTGTTTTTTCTTGGCTATCTATGGCAAAACCTTGCTTTCTGCTCTCAAACTGACGTTCTAAATTTTTCTTGATTTTGGGACCAATTTTGTCTTCCAAAAATTCGTCCGAAAGAATTTTGCTATCTAAAATCTTTTGGTCAATCGATAGTGAGTGGCCGAAACGTCTAAACGGTTCAGCAAATGCGCTAGATTTACGTATATTCTCATTCCGAGTATGTACCATGATTCTTTCGGGCTTAGCCGAATCCAAATCCTCTTACTTGTTTCTGTAAACACTCAAAGTAAGAAAAAAAAAGTAGCAAATGCGCTGGATTGACGTGTCTTTTCAAAGACAAATTTTACCCACATTTCAAAAATAAAATCAACGATCAATCCTCATATCTCGTTTATAAATTAAAATTTCTTCTAATACAACATAAATAAAATCGCATTTTTAATTACGTAAAACAAAACAACATTTTAAATAATCGCCTCAAAAAATTAATACCCATCAGAAAAGATACCTGTCAGATTTTTGGTTTTCAGCCGGTCCTCGATAGCAAGAGTTACAACAATACCCGTAGGCCCACAAATGATGTCCATGATAGCCTCCGCCAGTAATAACGGACTGCGAAATGGTGGCGATATCAATGTAATTCTCTAGGTAAAGGCCTTCAAAGATGTATTTGTGGCAGCTGAAGCAGGTGTGGGCGAAAAATTTGACATTCCAGGCCGGTGGGAAGATCTGCTCGGGTTTGAGGCTGAAAATTGAATTTTCAAATTTTCAAGCCGGAGCAGTGATGAAAAGTAAGAAAAAACTAGACCAATATTTTACAAAACATATCCCAGATTTTAACTCGCGTTTTGCAGAATCAATCGAGATTTTTAGGTCGAAAGTAGTCGAAAAATCAAAAAATTTTTTGGACTTTTGGCTTGAGAATTTGGCGTTCTGTTTGAAGTGTCAAAGAACAACTTTTTACAAAGAATCAATTTTTCCGAGCAAATTGCAAAGTAATATGTCCGAAAAAACAAGTTTTTTCTGTCCATCTCCCCTCATTTTCCACTTTCTCGGTCGCTTTTTGTTCAATATCTTTTGGAATACCCCAAAAGATATTGAACAAAATTTGCAAGCGAGAAACTGTGGAAAATGAGGAGAGATAGACAGAATAAATTTGTTTTTCGGACATGCTACTTTGCAATTCGCATAGAAAAAAATGATTCTTTGTAAAAAGTTGTGCTCTCACACTTCAAACAGAATGCCAAATTCTCAACCCAAAAGTCCCAAAAAATTTTTTTGATTTTTCGGCTACTTTGGACCTAAAAATCTCGATCGATTCTGCAAACCGCGGGTTCAAAAACCTCGGATAAGTTTTATAAAATATCAGCCTTATTTCTTGTCGTTTCATTAAATTATTTTTAAATTAGAAGTTTTTTTTCAACTCCTTTTCCGAATATTTTACACCTCAAGTCACCAAACTCACCCCATATTCATCAACTTGATGATGGAAAAGACTTGCAGTTGATACACATCATCCATGGGTATCTTGACAATTCCCGATCCACGAGGCATGATATTGTTTTCATAGACCGTTATCACCTCAAATCTTTTCCTCTCGACAAGCGTCTTCGGGATGAACGAGATTTGATTGTGGTCCAGTCTCAAGTCTCGAAGCTTTGTCCATTTATAAAACTGAAAACGAAAAACCTGATTGTCACTCCAAAACTATGTCCGAAAGTCCTAAAAGGCAAACAAAAGTGTGAAATATTACCGTTTCGCCAATTTTCTTGATCTCATTGTGGCTAACATCAAGTTTTATGATCTCTGTGAGGTGATCCAAGCTTTCTGGGAGCGTTTTCAGCGAATTCTTTGATAGGTTCAAAACTCGCAGAGATTTTGGGAAGGATCTGTAGACCTTGTCCTATAAATAAATTCACATTTAATCCGTAAAGACCAAGCTCACATGTGAAGTCCAATCTTTCCTAAAAATTCAAGAAAAAACAAAAATTCTTACCGGCAGATCTGTAAGTCCATTGTCGGATAAATCCAGCTCTTCCAACTTCGTCAATCTGGACAAATTCATCAGATACAACATGTCTTTGCTCGTCTCCGCGCTCATCGCAACCTTCAGCCTCAACGTGGTCAGATTTTTCAATGCAAATGGCCGAAGATCCAACGGAATTTCACCCTCAATTACAAGGTTCTCAATGGACTTTGGATAGGATTTTCGCTGCTTCGAATCCGCTTTAGCGGCTTCACCTCGAAGTTCCAGCTTCTTTGGGCCGTCGGAAGCCAGCACCTTGGCCACGGTGGTTGGGTTGTGGGCATTGCAAAACAAACGTTTTATTTTTAGCAAGTCTTCTTGGGAGTTGTGTTTGGAATGAAGAAAGTGGTCGACAACAAAGAGAATGTTCTCCTTGTTTATTGCAGTGAGTGTAGAGAGTAAAACGTGCTGCAGTGGTCGTAGAAATGAGAATGTGAGCTTACTGGGGTCTTTGGGGTTGATCAGAGAGCAATTTCCTTCAGTAATCTGAAAGGATGGATAATATAAACTAAAATGGCAATCGTGTGACCATAAAAATTAGCTTAAAACTTCACACAAAAGTTCACACATCAATTTCCGCTAAACGCCTCAAAATTCCGATATTATTCATGACCATCAACCATCAAACCTTCTAAACTCCGAAAACACTGCAAAATCAAACCACCAACCTCGTTTATGCATTCCAACCGTTGGTTAGTGGCACATCGAATCTTCATCACCAACAACTTGCCTCGTTTTTGCTTTGTATCAAAATTTAACGCGCATTTCGCCGGTCCAATGGGCTTGGATTTGGGCTTCTCCGGATGGACGATTGAAACCTTCGCTGGGACAATCATTTCAAGGTCTTGTCTTCCAGTTCTTGTCCAAAAACAACGTGGGAATTCCCAATTTTCTCATGCAATTTTCGAAAATATTTTTCTCACCGAACAAAGTGTCAAAATTGATTTTCTTAGACGGAATGCCACAAAATTATCCGAAAATTGCAGGGGTGGCAAACGGGCCTCTTTTTCCAAATTTCAGGCCCGGGGCCCGGCCCGGCAAAATCCCAGGCCCGGCCCGGCCCGGTTCAAAATTTTGCAGGCCCGGCCCGGCCCGGTAGAAATCAGGCCCGGCCCGGCCCGGTAAAAGCCCGGTTAGGGCGCGAGCTGGAAATTTTCCTTTGATCTTACCGCCTCTGTAGTGTGCTAAAATCTGCTAAGAACTATCCTATATGTATTATATGTTCTAATTTGGACCTTATATTATAACATATATGCAAAAAAGTACTATAAAGTAATAAATATGGTAGAACTTGATATACTAAAAATACAAACCTATCCAAAAATTTTTCCGGCGCGAAAACATTGAATGCCAAACGCTTGGCATTTCGACAAAACCGGGCCGGGCCTGAAAATGGCTCAGGCCCGCGGCCCGGTAAAAAGCAGGCCCGGCCCGGCCCGTTTCAAAATTTGTCAGGCCCGGCCCGTTTAGGCCCGATCGGGCCGGGCTTCGCCGGGCCGGGCCGGCCCGGTGGCCACCCCTGGAAAATTGTAAAACTACTGCAAGGACTAAAAAAAAGCTTTATAATAGGTTTATTTAAAAATTAATCAACAAAGAACAACATAAAGAGCATCAGAAAGCTTTTGAAATTCCACTTTTTCTTCTCCATCATCTTAGGATAACCGTTTTTTGAGTTCTTCGACTAAATCGTCTATTTTAACCTCCGTTTCCTCTCTGGTTTTGACATTTCTGATCTTGACGAGGCCGTTGTTCAATTCTTGTTCTCCGAGGAGTACCACCCAGGGGATAATTCGCTCCTCCGCGTATTGAAGTTGGTTCAATAACTTAGGATTGGCTTTGTACGGGAGTTCAGTTCGAATATTCGCGTCCCACAGAATCCGGGCGATTTTCATTCTCTCCTTGAGAAGGCCCTTTTGTGCCGACGCCACAAGCACGTCCGTTGCGTTGGTTCGGAGGCCAGTTTCTTCGCTCTAAATTCGAAAAAAAATTACAAAAATTATATTGTAGTAGGTAGATAAAACAAAGGAAAAAAAAATTTTTTTTTTCTGAAACCAAAATTTTTTGACTTTTTCCTACCTTATGTTTCATCTCCATGATGCTGAAGAGTCGTTCGATGCCAAACGAAATTCCTACACATGGAATATCCGTTCGTTTCTTCCCCGCCGACGCCGAAAACATGCCAACCAGCGTGTCGTAGCGTCCGCCAGCAGCTACCGAGCCTACCGAACAGTTTTCCTCAGGGTTTTCGGGATTCGCATTCTTCGGGACAAACGAAAATTCTAAAAAAAGTACAATTTTTATACATTTATCACAATTTCCATCCAAAAAAATGACCAACCTTTCACAATGACCTCATAGATGACTCCAGTGTAATAATCGAGGCCTCGAGCCAAGGATGGCTCAAAGACCACGCGTTTATTGCATCCATAAAGCTCACAGTATTCGAGGAGCAATCGCAGCTCATTCACCGCGACCTTCACACGGTCGTTTTCGAAGGTCTCGAAGATTTTTAGGAGGTCTTCGTTCGTTGGGTTCGAGGCTAGCTCTGAAAAAAAATCTTGGTAAAATGAAAAAAAAAAATTATATTATACATGCCATCCAAGTAAAAAATAAACTAAATCACATCTCAGCAAACAAAATTCAACGCATTCTTGTATCATTGCTTACTCCTTTACAGCTAAAAATTATATTCTCCCTCCTCACCTCTTGCTCTCACATATTTCTCCAGATGATTTACCGCATCGGCCGGGATTTTCTTCTCATTAACCAATTCGTCCCTCACGGTCTCCCATGGAACCTTATCCAGCTTATCAACACTTGAACAGACAGTTTTGAAGTCTTTGGTGTCAATTCCACTCAAGGCGAAAATCCCTTCCAACAGAGCTCGATGGTTCAAACGGATCTCAAATTCACCCAAGTCCAAGGTGGAAAGGACTTCATCAGCAATCTTTAGGCACTCGGCATCTGGTAACATCGAATCATATTGACCAGCAATATCAAAATCCTAAAATTTTGGATTTCAGAATTCTGATGTGAAGGTGAAAGTAAAATAAGGTGAATTTCAGATGATCCAGAAGAAATTGCGCACTCTAAAGACGAAAACAGAAAGATAAAGTCACTTACACACTGATAAAACTCTCGGAACCTTCCTTTCGTCATCACGGGGTTGTCTCGACGATAGACTTTGGCAATGTGGTACCTCTTCAAGTTGGCCAACTTGTTCATAGCCACATATCGAGCAAACGGAACCTAAATAGGCACTTGTAGCAACAGCATCCTTCGAGAATCCCTAAACACCAAAAAGCAAGTCAAATAAACTTACAGTCAAGTCGTAGCGTAAAGAACAAGCTTCTCCACCCTGATCAGCCAGATCATAAACCAATTTTCCCCCTTCTTCTCCATATTTTCCCATCAAAACCTCCTTCAGCTCAAAAACTGGAGTATCAATGGCTTCGGCGCCGTGTTTCTTGAAGATTTCGGTCATAATTCCCAAGACTTTTTCACGGACCACCATCTGACTTGAGCCAAAGTCCTTGGTTCCCTTAGGAGTTTTAAGAGCAAATTTTCCTTCAGCCTTCATCTTTTCGGCTCTAGCTTTCTGCTCCTTCACCTGGAACGATAAAAAATCAGTAAGTTGGTGGAAAACACACGTATGACATCATGGACAATATCCGGAAGAAGTGTTTGAATTCACGAATGAATCAATGCAAAAAAAAACTTTCAACTAACTCCACCCATTCTAACGAAGAACTTATTAGTCAAAATTCAATAAGTCTCTTTCAGTTCATATCATATTTTTATATTGTACTAGGCTAGCTCTGCTTTCATTCAAACCCCAGAATTTCGCGAAAAAACCTCCACAAAACTCCAATAGCGCTCTCCAAAACTTCATCAAGGTCTATGAATTATAACAAACAGTAAAACCCACCCGCCACCCGCCCCGTTCGGTCCAAACAACTCGGGGACGGCGAACCTCGGTTTCGGGTAAGGTACAATAACATCGAATCGGTCGTGTTAGCCTCAAAAGCAAACTAGCCCGCATTTTGTCCTAATCTAGCCTCAATTTATACCTAAACACATAAAATGAAGATGAAAATCCACTTACTTTCAGGTCTTTGACGCCCTTTTCGACTTCGGACATCTCTGAAAATACTAAAATAAAAAAAAAGTTATAAAAACGCAATAAAAATACAGTACGCAAGTTTCGCTTCACAATTATTACGGTTTATTAGCCCAAAACACGAGGAAATATTGTTGTTGGAGCTTCTCGAGAAAATAAAATAAAAATTACCTCATAATCAATAGTGACACTTCGTTGTTGACACTTCGCCAAATTGGGATAGGAATGAAATTTGAACTTACTTTTGATGGCAGTTTATGCAATGAAGTGTGAAAAGAGTCAAAATAAATTATGAGGGCATTCTTTGCTTCAAAAAAGTTTGTTTCGGTCGGATTATATTACACTAGCCTTCAGCACTCAAGTGGTCAAAAAAAACAGATGACTTTGCAACAAGACTTGTCAGAAGCCAATTCAATCTCTTTCGTATTTGTTGTACTGTCTATTAATAACTAAAAATCCTCAATTTATGGCTAAAAATCGATAATTTTGACAATTTTTATTTTATCCATCAGATTTTATGTCATTTTTTAAAATTCTGTGGAACATCTCATGTCTAATGTTCGAGAGGCGCGATTAGTCGAACCCACGTTGTGCATAATCCAGTAATTTCCACCCGGAAGTGGGAAATCGTCGTGGGAACGCGGCAGATGCTACGTTCTTGGTCCTCGAACAACTTTTTTCTCCGAAGAATCCGAAAATAAAATTCTCACGTGAAAATTTCAACAATTTTGACAATTTTTTTCATCGATGAGAGATTTAGCGACCTACAAGGCCTTTTTTTTAAAGTCGGATTGCCGAAATTTAGATGGAACTTTCGAATTTCCATCGAATTTTTTTTTTTATTTTCTTTTGAAACGGCGGTTTCCAACTTTTTCGGGCGGCCTGATCGGATTTCAGTCAGGAACGGAAAGGTTTTTCAACTTTTATGAAACTTTACCTATTTTTGCCGATGGCCTCGGGCGCTTCGCCGGCCGCGTGATTATTTTTTTTTGTAAACGGCTTTGGACTTTTTCACTTTCCCCCAAAAAATTTTTTTTCTGGCGCTACGATTTTTTGAATCAGCGACAGTCCGAGTCAACGATACTATATATGTTGTTGTATGCGTGGGGAGGCTAGAAGAAGGCTTAGTTAGTAGAAATAATAAGATTTATCGGGTGCTAGGACTGCTTATCACCTATTTTGAGGTATTTTACATTTACTCACATCAATAATATTATCTAGATAAAAGTTACGAATCTTCGTTTTCTGTCCCAAATTTTGGTCTTTATTGCAACATACCACCCTGAGTTATGTTGCAATAACTCAGGGTGAAGAAAACTAACGTTAGTGATGGGTAAATTAGAAAAAGTGGACATGCTGCAAGTCTTCGCCATGTCTCCGCCGAACGTCCGCCGAACATCAACCGATGATGTGTAGAGCAGGTGGAGACCCAAAAAAGGTTGTAGGGTATGCCTACAAAGCCTGAAAAACCATTGGCTGGTTGGCGGACGCTCGGCGAAGACTCGGCGGAGGCTTGGCGAAGACTTGCAATATGTCCACTTTTTCTGTAATAAATTTATCTATATTAGGTTGGCAACTAAGTTATTGAAATTTTTGACTGCTTTTCTTTTTGCCACAACCTTTAAAGGCTTGACAGACAACAACTATAATACCCACTATTAGTAACAACAATACAAGCCTTATCGTCTGAATGTGCAGTGGCACCACCAACTGAGAAACCAGGGAACTTAGGCTTAGAAGATTTCATGAAGCCGGTTTCTAGGTGTTCTGTTATACTGAAGTTTTTATAACTTAGATCGTGCGCAGTCAAATGGGTGTGCTTTCCGACACAGAGAGTAACATAAGTACTTCACAACACTCAAGAAAGCAAAGTCTATTTGGACTGTTTGATAATTTTCTACGATCATTATTTCTATCGGGCCAAACAGGCATCTCGACGTAAGTGGATATGCTAGATTTCGTTTTGCTCGCAGCCCGAATCTTTTCTATCTCCCATGTAAACATATTCGGAGGAGTGATACTCTGTGCTGGTAATTTTCCCGAGAGCATAGCGCTTAAAAAATTTGCTAAAATCTTTAAAAATGCTTTCATCGGGTATAAAGGGTTTGTTCGGCCTTAACTTCAGAATACCGCGCCTAAGCTCGCTGGCTCCTGTACGGGTTTTTAACAAAGAGAATAGACGTCCCTTTTCAGGGCCCTAGATTTATCAGCGGCACAAAGGTCTTGGAAAAAAATAGCAACTACTCGGTTAATTTTTTGGGAGCCACTAGGCAGGTCATGAAGATAAATACGGTCGCTACTTTATGTCATGCTCCAAGAAGGAAGACGGTTTATGCTACTATTTGGTTCGTAGTGAATAGCTCTGTCACTACCCGAAGAGTTAACCGCGCTGCCTTCTTTAGCGTCTCGTGCGACACCTTGAAAGACAGCCTACCGCCTAATTTTAAGCGAAGTCGTACTAATTTCTATTGATCCTTTTGGGACAAAATGTTATCACAAGACTGTTGAAGGTGTCCTAACGTTGTAAACGTTGTACATTAGCATTATGTCATTCGAGTTCTAAACGCATTGCATGGCACTGCAAAATGACCACTCAAAATTGCTCTTATTCAAATTCAAGGTACTACACCAACACGCGAGCTGCGAGTTCGATGCCCCTGGGTTTGATAGTACTCTAACCCTACTACAGGTGGAATAGTGTGATACTAGCCATACTGACTTAAGAAGGTCTGTGGAATAATGCAAAAAAAATTTCAATAACTTAGTTGCCAACCTAATATATTGCTAATGTTAGTTTTTGTTTTCCCTGAATTATTGTAACATATATAAAAGACCCAAATTTGCAGCAAGCAACGAAGGTCCGTAACTTTTATCCGGATATTATTGATTTGAGTACATGAAAAATGCTTTAAAATAGGTGATAAGCAGTCCTAGCACCCGATAAATCTTATTATTTCCACTAACTAAGCCTTCCCCTGCCTCCCCAATGAATACAACGACAAATAGAAAGGACCTAAAGCATCGTTGACCCGAACTGTCGCTGACTCCAAAAGTCGTAGCGCCGTCTCCGCCGAGCCTTCGCCCAGCGTCCGCCGACCATCCAACGGCATTGCCAGACCTCGTAGGCACTTCCTACAACCTTTTTTTTTGAGTATCCACCTGCCCTACTCCCCGTACCAATTGATTTTCTGCTGACCCGAACTGTCGTCGACCCGAAAAGTCACCAATTTTCTTGCATTTGGACGCCAATTTTCTTGCATTTCAAAATTTTCTTCCGCCAGAAATTCACATATTTCCTGATAATGCTACTCAACAATGCATGCTGTTTTCGTGGCGGGACAAATGATCCCCTTATTATCCTTTTCCGGTGTCCATGTAAATAAACAACACGTTTTTCGGACCGACGGCTTGTCTAGCCAAGCGTTTTTACACCTATTTTTTCATTTTCATAAAGTGCATGGACGCGCACTTCATTCTTCATAAAGTGCATGGACATTTGTCGCAGTCCGCACCGTGCGCAAAAGCGCGCCATTTTGCACCGTGCATTGGCTAAAGTTAGAAAAAGTGTGACATTTTTTGTGGATTTTATCATCAAAAGTTTCCCCTCGAAGCGCGATGCTCAGAGTTTGATGAAACTTGTCACAACTTTAGATAATTTTTTAACTTATGCAAGTCTCTTAGCTCACGCCCTCTAGAAACGACCGAGATTTTAGGTCGAAAGATGAAAAAAAGTGATCAGTTTTTTGCGAATTTTGGCATGAAAAGTTTCACAACTATTTCTACCGTAGAGAGTGATGTTTCCACAAAAAATCATTTTTTCCCGAACGAAGCTGGCAAAGGTACGGCGAAAAAGCGTTTTTTTCTTTGACCGCTCTCCGAGTTTCGCGTACTCTCTCGGCCTGAAAGTTCGTTGAATATCTCGGCTTCCTCTGCAAAGCGCGAGCTAAAATTTTGGGACTTGTACAGGGACCTGATCCAGTGGAAAAACACCTACCATTTCGCATTCAGGAGGTATAAAAAATGTAGCAAAATACCTCCCTCTCCAAATGAAAAAGCTCCGATTTCAAAAGCGCGCCCGCTCTTTTTGTGAGGGAAAGGGCGCGCCCTTCAAAACGAAGTTTTTTACTTGGAGAGGTATTTTGCTACATTTTTTTATACTTCCCGGATCCAAAATGGTACGTTTTTTGCCACTGGATCAGGTCCCCCACTGTAATTTGCCTGAAACCCGTTTGACCTCTCAGACATCCCAGTTCAACCCTCTTCGTCGTATGTGCTTGTTCTGTTTATGTTGCACAACCAACATGGGCCCGTACCCGATATCCGCTCAGCGCTGGCGCATCTCCCATGCGTTCCTCGGGCGTTGGGTTTTGCGAGGAACGGAACTTTTCGGGACGCAGGATATCCGCGCTTCCGGTTTCACGTCCAGGTGAAAGCGAATACAATTCGAGGACCGCGTTTTTTGAACAACTGGACAAGTGATGTTTTTTTGGGGGCGACATTGGCACGCGTCTGGTCTATTGTCTGCTAACAGGGGAAGTGCTCCATGTGCGACCCAGACAAATGTCAGACTCCAAGCTAAAGTTAGAAAAATGGAACATTTTTTCGGGTTTTGTCATCAAAAGCTTCGTGCCTATTTCGAACGTAGAGGGTAATGTTTTCACAAAAAAATCAATTTTTTCCGCACGAAGCTTGCAAAGATAGCGCCTGGAAACGATTTTCTCTCTGAACGCTCTCCGTGTTCGGCGTAGTCACACTTCTCTCCCGGCCGCAAAGATCGTTGTAGCTCAGCTCCCCTGCAAAAGTCGGGCTAAAAGTTTGTTCGAAATGATATGTCACCTATGCCTACAGTGTGAGCAACGTTTAAAGAAAAACTGGGCGGCTCATTTGGGACCTTTCCCTTGCGCGTTTAGTCATGTCGCATAGCCTAGATTGAAGTAGTAAGTACCCAACTCCTGTCTGCGACATCCGCGTCACCCTCCCACCAAGTCGACGTCGTCCAGAAAATCTTCAGATGCGGAATC